TATCTGGTGTTTGTGTCGAAAGTTTCTTGTCGAGGTTTGTTGGGTGAGGACTTGTTTATTGTTTTTAACTCTGCATGCTATACAATAAAACATGGTACTAACTCCGGAATCCGGATTTTATGACCTCCTTTTAATTTTAGCCTTCTTTTTTTAAAATGCTTATCCCAAAAAGATAAAACAAAAAACACTTTTATATATAAAGTATTTTTTCAAAGTTGGATATTTATGAAACCGGCTTTCGTTGGACGAGACGAGAATCTGTATGCATAAAGGTATTGTTATGAATGTTTTCCTCTGATTCATACCGAACGTGGTATGAATGACGATGCTTTTATGTCGATGACCGACGACGCCCATAAAGTAAGCGAGAATGTGAAATTGTGTAGTTCGATGACATCCGTTCCGTTTTCGTCGAAACCACTAAGAAGAATTATAAAATGTCTCCAGTAGCTTCCCATGTTACAAACATAAAGGATGTAGTTACATTTTCTCGTTATTACAACTAGCTTATTCTCAGCAACAATGAAATAAAAAAAAAAACACCTGTAAAAAATGTCGTTATCATTATTTTTTTAAGTTTTATTTTCTTATGTTGGGTGACAGTGGAGCCTTAATACCAATCCTCCACCGTCTGTATGACGGCCGCGAAAGGCCGGTGCCTCTTGCAGGTTGCAGCGCCACCAGTACAATATCGATTGCGCGGGTGAACAGTCGAAAATGTATTATATTTGTTGAAAATATTACCTAGTTCGAAGAGAATGCAGACGAGAGCACAGAAGACAGCCAATCGGGCGCGCCCGCGCCGCGTGAGGCGGGTCTATGAAACAAACACGCCGAGCGGACGCCCGCTCCGTGCCCCGCTTAACGGTGCGCACGCTTATAATTTTCTACATAGTCTTCTTAAAAAAAACCTTTATACTACTTGTTCATATGCTGCCTCCCAAAAACATTTAACCTATCTGTTAATCCAGGGTGTCAGCTAACTCCATACCAAATTTTATTAAAATCGCTCCAGCCGTTTAGACGTGAAGAAGTAACAAACTTACACACTCACAATCTTTCGCCTTTATAATTTTAGTGTGATAAACTTTATGTCAAAAATTAGAGCTATCGAAAATGACGGAAATTTTCTTTTACAGAATGGCCTTACTGGTTCTGAAGGGTTAAAAGATTTTTTTAAATTTTATTTAAGAAGAATACTATGTAGAAAGTATAAAAGCGTGCGCACCGTTAAGCGGGGCTAACTTATTTCATGAATAATAATTAATCTATATACACGTCTATATACATAGATAAATGATTGGTCTCGCTTCACTCCACGAGTCGAGTGAAGCGAGACCAATCATTCATCTATGTCTATATATATAAAACTCAAAGGTGACTGACTGACATAGTGATCTATCAACGCACAGCCCAAACCACTGGACGGATCGGACTGAAATTTGGCATGCACGTAGATGTTATGACGTAGGCATCCGCTAAGAAAGGATTTTGATCAATTCTACTACCAAGGGGATAAAATACCGAAGCGAAGCGACGGCGGGCCACTAGTAAATAAATAAAAACACAACTGCAGTTATAAAAATTACCTGAAAAGAAATTATCTCGTTTTACAAGTAAACCCTTTTATTAATGCTACTACATTTGTATATATTGGATATGGTCTCAATAAGACTCCCAAATGATACCTTTATTCTAATAAATAATAAGAAGACTCGGAAATGATTGACATTTTGACATTTTAGGTAATTTTAGCAGCATTCCTATGATTCCTGGGATGGTGAAAGGATTATAACGATACCACAAAACATCGAAATCGGTTCAGTCGTTAAGAATTTATGGTGGAATAAAGAATTGTGCATACATACATACATGGACCCTGAATACACTTTCTTTTTTGGATGTTATTTAAACGGTTGGCAAAATAATCTTGTTTTTGTTAGCAAACAAAAACAATTGGTTAGGCAAAATAGTCAGTTAGGCACTAGGCAGCAACTTATGGTTAATTTCTAAATCAGCCTGAAATTTATAATATTGTGAACAGCGATAAATAACCATACATCGTTGTAGTATAGACCGGGCGCTAGAGGTAAGTGAGTATGCATAATGTGAGTACCGAATTTTGCCAACGGATTTAAGTGAAGAATAGGTCAAAGAATAATAATGTGAATCTTGCCGGTCGATTTTTTGGTCCATATTTATTTTACCCCCTTTTCTCTTATTCGTAAAGGGAATGTATTGAGTACATGATATAAAATCATTTTAATGATTATTTTTGTAATAATTTATAGTTTTTTCTAATGATAAAAGTCAGGATGGATTCTTAAATAATAAAAAAAAATCAAAGTAATATTTTTTTATTAATAAAAAAAAATAAAGTTGCCTACTCATGAAAAACCAGCGAATCTAAGCATAAATGTATTTAAAGTAGGTACAAAATTATTCATTTTTATTTTTACATTTGTTATTGATGCAGTTACATAATTAAATACAAAACAATTTTGATTTTTGGCAATTACAAGACATTGTACGACAATCCGCAGTACATTTACATGGTGAAATTAATGACTCTGATAAAGACGGCTTCGTCATTTGTCGTGGACGTAAGTCACCGTTGAGCTTTTCGTAACCCAATGAACAATAATCAATGGGTGGTAATTGTGTTTAATGAGCATTTTTCCATATAAATGTTTGTACAGTAGCCAAGTGTGCCAAGCCAGTAGCCGCTGGTGCTGTGGCCACGGAAGCGGACCTGGCAGCTCCGGATACTGGGGGCAGGGACTCCCCTGACTTCATGTCTACAAACCAGGAGCCCCTGGTCTTTGAAGACGAACCGTCAACGCCGACGCTTGCTTCCACCAGCCGCCTCCTGGAAACGATATCCGGGTACGTTAACAAGATCCTGGACAATGTCGACTGCAAGCGCAGTAAGAACAAATCTGTCACCAAGGCCAACCGAGAGAACACCTTGAAGTACTGTAACAGCATACTCGGGCTCATCAAGGACGCCAAAGGTTACAACACAACCCAGCCCGGCGGTAGCACCCGCACTTCTTCCATCGGTCGAGCCTACCATCGCCGCCGACCTACAGCTGATCAGGAAAGAGCTAAGGGAAATCAAAGCGCAGATTAAGACCAGCACCCCTAGCCGGACTCCGAACACGATGCCCCTCACTATCGCGCAAATGGCGGCTGGACCACCGAGGGCTGCCCTGTCGACCGATCTCCCTATCATGTCGAGTAACCACCCAGCGAGCGACAGAACCGCCGCTCCGAAACCAGCCCTGATCATTTCGTGCAAAGGAGAGGGAAACCCAAGGGAAAAGGCGGTGAGGGCCCTGAAGAAGTTGGTGTAGTACAAGGATGCCAAATATACAGCGGCTAAGATTGCCAAACTATCCAACGATAAGACCCGTGTGGAATTTGACGGTGTGGATCACTTCAACGACGCCCTAAGGAGAATCATCGGCGCACCGGAGGCCATGGGAGTCTCTGCGGAACCAAAAAGAAAGATAAGCCCGATGGTCATGGTGAAAGGTATCTCCAAAGATGTGCGCAGCGAAGAGCTCTTGGGAAACATCATCGAGCAAAATGAGCACCTGCAAGAGCTCTCCGCGGACACTGACATAAAACTGCGGTTCATTAGGAACAATACAACAAACAGGAAGCCAAGTAGTCAATACACTTGTAACAGGCACTAAGAATTTACGAAAATACTATTTTTTATATGTTTAAATAAAAATACGACTTAACAAAGCAACGTCTTTACGTGAATAGATGTAGAAACACACTAAACGCGTACGCGCGCTATGCTTAATGTATGGGCGAAGAGGGGATGTGAAGAGAGCGGGAAGGGACCATTACATCTGGCGGCAAGATGTGTTTTATTATTATTTAGGGTCTCAGGTATAAGAATCCGGTCATAGTTGCCGTCACTCGAATTTTGCATACTCAACTACCTCTAGCGCCTGGACTAGTAAGTAAACTGCAGTTTGTGGATCATCTATCTGAAAAACAAACACACTCATTAAAAGTAGCGCGATCCCAAGACTACAAACTCAGATACGAATCAAAAGTTTTTGATAACAGGGGCCATTGTCATATTACAGATAAAGCATACAGCATACAGCAAGTAGCGCCATCTATATCTGATTTCTCACCTCAGGCATGGGCCAATAATATTATTGGTCCATGCCTTAGGCCATGCTTAGGATACGGCCACAGTGCACGGAGATTCAGAATCAGATTCAGACTCAGAAATAAATGTAGTTGAATGAAATAGTGTAGTTTAAGCAGGGTGGCCATAGTGGCAGCAGGCAACCTGCTTATACTACACTGTTTATTTCTCGCGCTTGTTTTCTGAGTCTGAACCTGCGTGCACTGTGTCCGTACCCTTAGACTCTTTGTAACTCAGACTTAAAACAAAATACATTAAAATAGTCTCTGAACTTCTTCAGAGAAAATAGTGTATTGTACGTACCTGTTGTGTTTTACAGCGCGACCAAGATCTTGTGGCAAATTTATGACATTGACAATTGGGCGCTGCTGGTATAGACCTCTGAATAAGTATCATATTTTGAGGTATAGACTAAATACAGTATTTAAAGACTGACAGAGTGAGGACAAAGCATATCATGCCCTAACGACACTCCTACAAGGTAGAATGATATGCAACATGTTGGACCTACTTTTGGTACAATAATATATTTTCAGCAAGAGCTAACAGCATCTTGACAAGCCGTACTGTGGTCATAGACAGTTTATGACTGTGATAAAGTTTAATATGAAATTCTGTGAAACTAAGGAAACAATTTTATTGTGGAGTTTTTGTTATGGCAGAACTACACTGATCTGTTAGGAGTCATTTCGGCCACTTGCCACAAGATCTTGGTCGCCATTTGGTCGCACTATAGGAATTGTAGGTCCATACATTCAATACATATTTTGTTTTGGCAACACCGTCATCATAGTTGTCAAAATCATAGATTAAATATTTACTTGCTGTCAAAAAGTAGTCAAGCGAAATAGGAGGTCGTTGATTTTTATTGAACGAAAAACATGAAAATAAAATAAATCTGTGATCGATTTCTATCGTGTTACTTATTTATAATAATTTTAAGTGAAATGAAGTATTAAGTATCGTGTTTTCTATTAAGAAGTGCAAGAAATTCTCTCAAAATGGCCAAGTAAGTTACGTAGAAATTCATGTATAAATTTCGTATTAGATTCTAACTGGATTAGCAGATTTAAAACGCACGTTTTAAATCTAACTAAACTGTGATTATCCTTTATATTTCAAGCTCATATTCTTTGCTAAGCGTCATACTAACGTTGCTTGGCTCAACCAGAATATTATAAACAGGAGTGTCTACAAATTAACTATATTTATTTTCCTTTTCATTTATTACAAAATGTTGTTTTACCAAGGAACCGAGCAAGTGAATGTTTCATTTTTAACTGACTCCATGTTTGTAGTTGCACTCTAACAATAAATTACACTGTTAGTAATTTTTACATATCCTACTGAATAATTACAAGTATAAGTAATTTCGTTTTTGATAAACTTAATATTTACCTGACTTTATACAAAAATATGTTAGGTAATTTCCAACGGGGAGTCCTTTCTATATTTAAAATATTTATTAAGATTGAAAAAAAAAATTTTTACTCTTATGCTAATTTATAGGGAAACTAGCATGGTCAGTTTTACAGTAAAATAATGTAAAAAAAAGTTTTGCTTGGATCAATCATGACAATGTTATTTGATTATTCTTGAAAGGATACTTGAATACAAGTCTTTTTATATTAATATGTTATTTATTTTAAAAAAGCTTGAAACCCGTCAATATCTTGATGATATCCTAGACAAGATTTTGATTATGATCTTTGCTGTATAGTTAGGTACTTTTACTATTTATAATAAAGGACTACTCATGATAACTATTTATAAAATATATTCTAGTACAAATTATTACTTTAGAAGAAAAATCCCATCATACTAACATCAGACAAGAAATAAAACTATGTCTGATGAAAGAAAAAAATTGTATTTTTGTTAAGGTACATAATGATGTTGATTCTGGCATGATTCTCCAAAGCTAAACTTAAATGTGACAACAGTGCATCCTTGTCGTTCTCTATACAGAATGAAAAGGAGAGACTGATGTTAAATTTAGTTTTAAGTTTAGAGAATCACGCCAGAATCGACACCAGTGTCTAATATTGATCAACTTATGTGTTACAGGGAAATGATGATAGTATTTGTGTATGATACACAATGCTGTACATCAGAAGAAGACGATCCAGTAGATGCAGTGCTGTATTTTCATCCTGGATGGGTTTCAGACACGCAGCGGCATGCTTTAGCTGGCCAGGTAAGACAATATACTTTAATGAGGAGCTCAATGGCGTAAGTGGTTAGCGCGTTCGGCTGCGATCGTTAAACTTAAGCAACTTTCGCAGTGGTCGGTCATTGGATGGGTGACCAAAAATTACTATTTATTATCTCGAGCTCCTCCGTGCTTCGGAAGGCACGTTAAGTCGTTGGTCCCGGCTGTATCTGCAGTTGTTAGCACCCACCAATCCGCACTGGGCCCGCATGGTGGGTCATGGCCCAATCTCCCTATTCCATCCATAAGGAACAGGCCTTCCTTGGCCTGCCCCAGCAGTGGGGACGTTAATAGGCTAATGATGATGAAATGAAAAAATGAGGGCCTAGTGACAACTCCGTTGAATCTATGAATGGATAAGTTAAACTTCTGTTGTAAAAGTTGACCATTAGATGGGTTTTGTAAATGCATTATTTTAAATTTTGCTGTGCCCCAGAAAGTAAAGTTCATATTAAGGTGTGGATTGTAATGTTCTTAATGTTAGCACTGACTAATGTGGACTTTACTGACATTGTGGGTGGAGCTCAATTCTCTTTATGTAAATGGGAGAGGCATGTACCCTGTCAATTAAGCACAAGCACCATTAATAGCATAATGATAATTCACACCAACATGAAGAAGTAGAAGTTTATATTCCAAATACCAAGCGAACTCTTAATTAATGTATCATTCAGTGCTTTGTTAAACATTTTCATTCTTTGTTTCAATCTAATTTGATATTTACAATGGATAAATTAACAAATATAATTAAAAATTTGTACAGTGAACAAGAGAGCAGGCCTGTGCCAGAAGACATGTGAACTTTGAGATTTTCTATAATTTCAAGATAACAAACAAGAATTCAATTGTAAATAGTGGCATGAGATGGGGCTTCATTAGGAAATGCTAATCGCAGCCTATCATAGCTTTCTTGTTGAGTAAGCCTACGCCAGTTGGCGTACATACGACTCGGCCACAAAGGTTGTACGCTTACGTTAGGCTTGTCATCATTTATACGCCTATATGTGTCGTATTGGATACAATACTACTAACTCTAACATTCGGCAAACGCTGCGCAGCACCTATTTTTTGCATATAGGCATATAAAAAGCGCTTTTATACGTCCCAGTATTACTAATGTTAGGCTCAGGTTCGGCCTCATGTTAGCACAGTTCTCTTCTTTGAGCGGGGGCGCCCTAGTGCCATCCTCTGACCGAAGTCACTTTGGAGATCTCGGGTGCGGATCCCGTAGCACACGGGATGGTCGTTGGGGTCGACGACCATCCCCCTCTCAACGTCTTCACTCGTCGCCCTCGGCGCGGTCAAGCCCACCGGGTGAGACCCGTGAGGGAGGCCCAGTGAGCGACCTGCGAGCGGGCGACGGGCTTAGCGTGAGGGGGTAGAATCCTGTCCGGGGGTAGTGTTGGAGATCGTTTTCACGACCTGCCCGAATTTTTTGATAAAATCCGTCAGTATGGCCGTGAGCTTGTGAATTTGTACGGATCTCGTCTTCATGCGTGGGTAGGAAGCAGTCGGCCGAGCTTGCCGTTGAGAGCACGCATGTGAGTCGGCCAGTCCGGCAGCTGCTCGACCACAATCGGCGGGCATTTACATGCCCGTTGGGACGTGGGAGCGCCGCCGGAGGCCGGTTGTGCGGTCGACACGGCAATGGGTGGTAGGCGCAGATATTTCGGCTTCGGTGGGGGTAGGCGCGAAACTTTTCGCTGCCTCTGCGTAGCTCGCAGACTGGGTCGGTAAAGCAGTCTGCGTCTGTTCTGGTGTGGCGGGGGCGGTGTCTTCGTCGTCCGAGGGCCAGTAGTATTGTGGATCGGCATCGTCTTGCGGTGGTAGGTCATCTTGTGGGTCGGGGGTAGTTACCTTAACAGGTAGGGGTGCCTGCTGGGGGACAGGGGAATCGCCGGTGCTGCGTGACCGGTGGAGGCGTGAGGCGCGCGAGTATGCTGCGCGGGGGCGTCTCTTTTCCGGCTAATCCTGGATAGGCTTGAAGTAAAGCGAGCTTGGCGGCGGGAGCGTGAGTGGCTCCGGGTTGGCGATACGGCTCGCGTTGACGCGATCGAGGTCGTTGGGGCCGTAGTTTGTGCTTGTGCTGGCGTCCTGTTCAAGTAGGCGGACGTATACGAACAGCCACTTCTTCATCCCGTTCGTGAGTAGGCCGGATTCGATGAGCCGCCACGACATCGCTACGTTCATATTGGGCTCTTAGCGATGCCGCGAGGCTCATTTTGGCCGCGAACAGGGCTTTGGCTTGGGCCCAGCTGGGGATTGGCATCTGGTACATGGACATCTTGCTGTTGCTGCGTAGTGGGGGCTAACGTCTGCGCGATCTCTTGGCCGAGCGGCGCCGGATGGCGCGCTCAAGGCCTGCGGCTAGGTGGCGCGGTGATCCACGCTGGCGCGGAGACGCCAGGTAGTGCTCGCGAGCAATAAAGGGCACTTTATGACGGAGCACTTGAGGGTGGTCGGAGATCCGTACGCGACGACGTAGTGCGGTCCGTGTAGGGATGTAGCGTTGTAGCTTTACTTTTATAGTATTTGTCACGGATAGTGTTCTGAAATTTTTTTCGGATTACATAATTCCCGCTGCTGCTTTTCAGCATCATACATGCCGGCAAACTTCTTGAGCGAGGACCATAGATAAGGAATCCTGCGCAGTATCAATTTTACATACAGAAACGTCTACTGCACAGATTTATTTCTCTGAGGTTTTGTTCAAGAAGTTTGCTGCTACCACTGTGATGAATCTCAGGAGTATTTCCTGAAATTAGCGCTGGGTCAGATTTGAAAAAATCATTCAGAGTTGGATAGTGCAGTTCAGTGCATAGATAAATATCTAGGAAGGTTATAGGCTGTATAAAATCATTAAATAAAACAATTTTTATGGGTTATATGCACTGAATTTATTTATCTGACGTTTCGCAGCCCTTGCAGGACTGCGTCTTCAGAAATAATGATTTTTTATTTACTTTGTAGAGCTACCTTCGAAAGACTTTTATTGAGCGTTCGGATACTTCATTGGAAGATTTTTAAAACTTTATTGTCTATGCTTGAATTTATTAGCTAATTTAATTAAAGTAATTTATTTAATTCCTTTTTATAATTTTGAGTTTAGTGATGTGCGTGAAAACCTAAGAAACAAATATGTATAAAATCATGCTACAACCAGTAGGAGCGGAGCATCAATGAATGAACAATTTCGGAGCCTATTCAATACAAACAAACATACAAATTTTTCCTCTTTATAATATTAGTATAGATTATCCAACATTAGAAAATACGAAACCAGTATATGTCAAGGAAATATTTGGATGTTCTCCATTTGCATAACTTTTAACTAACGCTCTTCAAAAACTGGTATTAGTTGTACTCGACGAATCTGGTTATGTCAGGTTACGATTTATTTTTTTAATTACATATCTTCTCTTTGTATTGCATTAAAAAAAACATCTTTTTAAAACGTATGCTATTTCTGATTCAATATTTTCATTCACGCCATATATTCCTTTATGCGATCGCCGACTATCCAAGTTCTCTGCAATCGGAACCAACGGCTTAACATGTATTCGGAAGTGCTTCATCATCATCATCAACAGCCTATCATAGTCCACTGCCGGACATAGGCCTCTCCAAATGCACGCCACAGATCGATCTTGGGCTACTCGCATCCAGCTCCTGCCAGTCATCTTGCGCAAATCGTCACTCCATCGTGCCTGAGCACGTCCTACACTACGTTTGCCTAGACGCGGTCTCCACTCCAGAACTCGTCTACCCCAACGGTTATTGGTTCTTCGGCAAATATGGCCAGCCCACTGCCACTTCAACTTGCTAATCCGGAGGTGCTTGAGATAGCAATATTTTGGTCACCCATCCTTTGAACGGTCATAACGATCACAGATCGAAGGCGCTTACAACTGCTCCATTGAACTTCTCAATAAGGAAAATATACTAGAAAAACGGTGCTCGGTCTAAGTGTCTGGCAGGATTGGTATGCCGCAGATTCAATGCACTATCCGTTACGCCTATCCGTCAATGGCCATGTCTCTTTTACTATTTCTAAGAGGGGCCATACACGTTATAACTAGGTTTGCCAGATGGCCGGGAAATCCGGGATTGTCCGGGAATTTTGCGTCTTGTCCGGTGTCCAGTAATTAGACCTCATTGTCCCGGATTCCGATAATGTGCTAGTTTCGTAACAAAATAAACTTATAACGAATGACACCGCTGGCTTGCTTGATGTCATTCAGATTCAGATCACCCCCCAGACTTAAATCTAGGGGGTTTGATTTTAGCTTTATTTTTTCAGGGAGGGGGGTTGGGTGCAAATGTCCCGGTTTTGATAAGCCAGCGTCTGGCAACCCTAGTTACAACGGTCGCACGGACTTGGATCATATGCAACAAGATCGATCGTGCATTAGTCGTACAGCAGACTAAATCGACAAAGGTCATGTCGCCGGTCCGCTGAAATACTTCTCGAACTGTGCGAATGTTTCAACGTGAATGGCCTCTTTTAGGCTGCAAGGCGATCTCTTCGCATTGTAGGCATACTTATATCTTTTTTAATCATCTCACAGGTGGTGGGCACAGCTCACTGCGTCAAGTCGTTGTTCTCGCAACCGTTGGCCATCACGTTGCAGAGTGGCAAATTCATCATCAGAGAATATGGCCGCTACATATTAGTAAGTTGCACAACTGTACAAATTACAGGCGCACTCGCGCACTCGGCGACATTAATTAAATTTAACTCTTGTCAATGTGTTATATAATTAATAATATCGTGGTTCTCATGTTCTGCACTCAACTATATTAAATACCCTAGATACACCATGTGCGCTCAAAATGTGTCCCAATCAAGAAGTGTTTGAACACGACTCAAGCACTTCTTGTTTCACAGTCACGCGTGGGCCGTTGAAAAGTCTACATGCCGCTGAGCTCCCTGAAAAAATGCGAAATAAAGACTAATAGTATATAAAATCTAATAAAGTCGTTTTTAATCAATGTTTGTTAATTTAACGCTTTTGAAGCAAATTTGGTTTTAATACTTACTATAAATTGATTTAATAGAAAATATTTGTGATATTCAAATGTATGGTCGGTAATATAGCCGTCTCTTTTCCTCGCGGTCCGTACCTGCTAACGCATTCAAAATTGCGCGTGGAGTCAAAGAAATAAAGTCTACATTCTTCCGCAAATAGCAATAAGTCGTAAAATTGTACGAGCTTACATTTCGGACTTTCGTAACTCTAGACACATACGTTTTAATTAAGACCTTATGCAGTCTGCTATAAAGGTAATTTTCAATGTTTAAATAATGCCTTAAATTGTTTCGACTATGCGATCATCTTACGGAGCTCCGTGGATCGTCCAATGTACCTTTTGGACAGGTTTCAGGCGTGATTTTGTTCGTGTTGGTGTATCTAGGGTATTTAATATCGTTGTCTGCACTGGATTGTTAAAGATATTTCAAAAATCCTGAATATTTTTTCTCTATCATAATCTTAACATTTCTTAACAAATCTTTGTTTCGAACAGACCTAATAACAAATAACAACGCTATTCTAACTAAAATTTCTCAAATCTATAAACACTGAATGGGGGTGGTGACGGGGTACAGTAAACGAAATTCTATTTAGTCCGTAAATTAGATGATCAAAAAATAATGGACACGTATTTTTTCTTTGGGCAATCAACCAAAAAATGACAAAGTTATAGCGCGCCAAAGTTTGGAAGTAGGAGCTCGTGACGTCACTTTTTAGTGAATTTTCACTTAAAAGTGTAATAAAACGTGACGTCATGCGGCTTTTCAAATCGATATATCTCTGCAATGTATGTAAAATACGTGTCCAATACTTTTTCATAATCTAGCTAATAAACGAAGAAGAAAAAAATAGTCATCATCCCTATTGTTATTTAGTTCAATGTCTCGAGTAGTTATAAAGCTGAATTTCATCAGGCCATTGGCAGCGACCGCAACATCCCAGACTGGGTTCTGAAGAACCGCGCCAAGCTACTCACTTCCATGATCAAGGTGTACCACGGAGACCTGCAGATCCTCGCAGCTCAGATGGAGGATAAGAAGCGGTTGGCTGAGAAGCTATACCAGGTCTTCGAGACATACCTGCCAGTGTTGCAGTACGGTTGCCATATATTCCAGAGGGTGCCAATGTTGAGTCTTCCAAAGGTAATAATTTATCCTCACTATATTAATAACTTATGAGGATATGTATTTTTTTTTTTAAGCATTTAACTGCTAGATGTTTAAATCTAAAGAAAAGTTTTACTAGAAAAAAATCCACGCGGGCCAGGCAGCGGAAGGGACTCGAACCCGCACCCTTCGCAATCCGGGCGAATGCACTGACCAATTATGCTACCACGGCCCTGATGGCCGCGTCGAAATTTTCCTAGCCTTAAGCTGCAAGGCAGCGCCATCTCTCCGCATTGTAGGTAACCTACAATGTCAAATGAATACTTTTTCAAGCAATTTTCAAGAAGAAATAGCAATTATAGTTATTATTTTTTTTAGCATTTAACTGCTAGATGTTGACAGTGCATTCGCCCGGATTTGCGAAGGGTGCGGGTTCTAGTCCCGTCCGCTGCCTGGCCCGCGTGGATTTTTTTTTCTAGTAAAACTTTTCTTTAAACTTACGAGGAGCTTGATGGCGCAAGTACTTAGCGCGTTCGGCTGCAATCGTTGAAGTTAAGCAACTTCCGCAGTGATCGGTCATTGGATGGGTGACCAAAAATTTACTATCTCGAGCTCCTCCGTGCTTCGGAAGGCACATTAAGTCGTTGGTCCCGGCTGCATCTGCAGTCGTTAGCACACACTATCCGCACTGGGCCCGCGCTGTGGGTCATGGCCTAAACTCCCCATTACATCCATAGGGAAGGACTGTGCCCCAGCAGTGGGGACATTAATAGGCTGATGATGATATTATTGACTAGAGGCCATCCGCAGTTTCGTCCGTGCTAAATTTAGTTTTTTGAAAAACCCACTTGGAACTAACATTTTTCCGGGATAAAAAATATCTCATGTCTCAATCCAGGTGTCTATATGCGTACCAAATTTTATCGAAATTTATTCAGTAGATTTTGCATTGAATAACAAACTTACAAACTTGCAGTTTTATGATATTAGTAGGATGCGAAAATAATTTTGTTTATTATGCTCTCACGCCTAAACTACTGAATCGATTAAGCTGAATTTTGGAGCGGAGATAGATGGAATCCTGGAAATGGTTATAGGCTACTTTTTCTCGTGAAAATCTAACATGGAGTGTATAAAATGGGGGATGTACTTTTGTATGGAAAACAGAAGAAGTCACGTGCACTCGCTAGTACTAAATAAAAATCACATTGATGGCACTAATTATGTAAAACTAATTATAGGCTGGTTAAAATGGCAAATCTAATTAGATACCAGAAAATCATTTGCTCTTTACCTACCAAGACCCAATACCCTACCCCACAGAATACAGAAAGAGGCTAGAAGGGTTATGTCAAAAGCCTTCTCTCCAAGCTTCCGGCATAGGGTCTGCCAGCCCAGTTCTGTTCTTGGGTAGCTGACTTCCTGCATGAGCGTAGAATTCGCGTCCTTACGGATGGTAGCAGTTCGCGGTTCATGTCAGTGAATGCCGGCGGCCCCAGGACTCCGTCCTATCCCCCACTCTCTTTCTGCTGCATATCAATGACTTAATTCCTCTTGGGAATATTCATTGCTATGCAGACGATAGTACAGTGCATGTGGCGTATATCGGACAAGCAGCGGCTGGGCAGGCGGTAACCAAAGAGAAACGGGAGAATCTTGTCATTGAACTCAATCAGGCTTTGGACCAAGTACTTTGCTCGTTGCTTTGGATAGGTTACAGCGGCGCGCGATCCGAATCATAGGCGATGAGGAGGTGACTAAACACCTTGAGCCTCTTCAATTACGCCGTGACGTTGCATCACTAAGCGCGTTCTATCGTCTGTACCACGGCGAGTGTTCTGAGGAGTTATTCTCTCTTATCCCACCTTCCCATTTCCTTCAGAGGACCACGCACGCTGGCCTACGTTGTCACCGTCTAACTGTGGCCACTATTCCAACTCGTACAAAGAAATTTGGAGACTCATTTCTTTGTCGCACTATCCGTAAATAGAATGCTCTGCCCGCTCACGTGTTCCCTCCCTCAACAACCTGGGATCCTTTAAAAGAGGCGTGAAGAAGCAACATGCAGGCCGGCAGGGTGAGGATGGCTGGTGTGGCAGGTAGAACTGCTGTATCAGCTATCTTCGCGTCTGGACTTCACCTTACCTCACCTCACTTAACATCAGGTGGGGTGGAGTTATATGTCGGACCTATCTATAAAAAAAAAAGATCATACATACAATCAAGTTTTAAAAATCTTCCAATGAAATATCCGAACGCTCAATAAAAGTCTTTCGAAGGTAGCTCGACAAAGTAAATAAAAAATCATTATTCTGACGATGCAGACCTGAAAAGGCTGCGAAACGTCAGTAAAGAAATAAAGTTCGGGCATTAACCCGTTAAAACTAGTTTTATTTAGATTATTATTTTTATTTTTTAAGCATTTAACTGATTATAATTTTTATTATTTTTAAAGCATGTAACTGCTTGATGTTTAAATCTAAAGAAAATATAACTAGAAAAAATTCCACGCGGACCAGGCAGCAGACGGGACTCGAACCCGCACCCTTCGCAATCCGGGCGAATGCACTGACCAATTATGCTACCGCGGCCCTCACGGACCGCGTCGAAATTCTTTCTAGCTATTCTTAAGCTGCAAGGCAGCGCCATCTCTTCGCATTATAGGTAAACCCACAATCGAGTCCCGTCTGCTGCCTGGTCCGCGTGGAATTTTTTCTAGTTATATTTTCTTTAGATTTAAACATCAAGCAGTTACATGCTTTAAAAATAATAAAAATTATAACTATAATTGCTATTTCTTCTTTCAAATGTTTAATACTTGTAAAAGTATTCGTTTGACATTGTGGGTTTACCTATAATGCGAAGAGATGGCGCTGCCTTGCAGCTTAAGAATAGCTAGAAAGAATTTCGACGCGGTCCGTGAGGGCCGCGGTAGCATAATTGGTCAGTGCATTCGCCCGGATTGCGAAGGGTGCGGGTTCGAGTCCCGTCTGCTGCCTGGTCCGCGTGGAATTTTTTCTAGTTATATTTTCTTTACATTTAACTGATGTTTAAATTTAAAGAAAATTTTGTGGAAACCAATTTTCTTTAGTACTATAAATTCTAAATATTTGTATATTATGAGATCATGACTAACATAGTGTTCGCCAGCGCAACAATGTAAGTAGAGCACAAACAAAACTGAAATCTGAGATTATTGATAAAGACAAGTGTTTATTTACACGCCACCCGCCGTTATCAGACTGCAGCAAATATTAACAGTATTTAAGTAGTTCTTGAATGCACAATATATCAATACCTTATCGGTAAACCAATGTGACTTTGTAAACTCAAATTGTAATCGAATCGAAAAAATTACACACCTTATTAGATGCACTTTGGTAAATTGATTGAATGAATACCATCTTTACAAAGATATAACTCAAATTGGCGATGTATTATAATTACGGAGCGATTTACCAAACAAGTTTTGTGTAATACTAGTTCACTTAAACTATGATTTATTTCTTACCATATCAAGCAATCACTGATCCTCACATGCGCATAAATATTTTTTTTATATAAGCTAGTTTAAATTAAACTATAGTCTCATTCCCTTCGGCCATCATAATTGTATTGACGTTGTAACAACATAATGATTTGTAAATGTTGTTACATTAGACTTAAAATTGTGGAGTTTTTTTCGCTCGTTTTTCTCCGCAGCTAAAAAATATGTCCAAAACGAGTGGTAGGGAAAAAAAATTTTTGGGCGATTCAAAAGAGTTGTACTATACATCCAATTTGAATAAAGATATATTGATTTCTGATTTCTGGCCGTCTACGAAACCGTAGTTTCGTAACTGGCACGATGAAGGAATTATTATTTCTTGTACGTAACTAGTTGCGATGCATAAATTATTCTTCTTCATACGAAACCCCGGTTACGTACAAATATTTTTTGCAATTTTTCAGAGGCATGAGTTATAGACGTGCATAAATATGGAAGGTAAAAGGTCTAAAAACTACAAAAAAATAGTTATACTTTTCTATATTTTTAAAGCTTTTTAACTGCCGCGTTTCAGATTAGGGCCGCGGTAGCATAATGGTCTGTGCATTCGCCCGGATAGCGGAGGGTGCAGTTTCAAGTCCCGTCTGCTGCCTGGAGGTCAACCGCCTAACGAAATGGCTATGGGTATCGCTATCGCTTTCGATTTGATTTTGTTATTTCTGACCGCCGAAGGTTTTCAAATACCTTACGCTCATTGTCTTTTATATTGTTGTTACCAATACAAAAGAAAAAAAAGCGAGTGCGGGGCATTTGAAATCCTTCGGCGGTCAGAAATAACAAAATGAAATCTATAACGATAGCCATAGCAATCCCGTCAGGCGAATAGCCTACGCGGTCTAGGGCCGCGTAGATTTTTTTCTAGTATAATTTTCTTTAGATTTGTACATAAATATATGTTAACAAGTCTATAAATGAATTAAAAGAAAATAAAATGACTAGGCCACTGCCTAGAAATCATATGTACGTATGCTAAATATTTTTGGTTCTATATTATGTTTGGTTTAGTTCTTTGAACTAATTATTTTGTTCAAAAACGATTCTTTTACAAGGAATTTTTCTTTCTTCGAAACCGAAACAAATTCCTTGTAGTTAACCATGATACATCGACGCGGTTTCGCTTCCCTAACTTCCTGTTACACACTTCCGTCCCACTTCACGTAATCACTCCCACAAATTGCACGAAAGCGAGAGGAAAGATGTTACACACCAAAAAGCTGTTTAGGCGTTTGACATAAACTTATGATTTGTTCACAGAGTGCCACGTCGATTTACATGGAAGCGATGCAAATACTCGACCACTGCCGTAAGAGTAAGGGCGTGCTTGGGGGCGTCGTTTTGTACAATAATAAGTTAGTATGAACTTATATTGTTTACGTATTAACGTTCCTTCACTTGGCAATAATCGTGGTTGCTCGTAATATAGGAATTTAAACTGTTGAATTTTGAACGCAAAGCTCGGAAGTATCAGTACCATAAAGTAATTGTGCTATTCAAGTGAAGTTAGCGCAAGTTGCGGCGCAGTAAAATAATGAAGAATGATGTAGGTGCGCGCGGTATGTCACTAAACTGAAATCTGCGCATAGTCGCGCTCGCTGCTAACTTCACAACCGCCATAAAGTTTAAATTGAATATTCGTATCTACTGTAAAATTACTCAAATATAAAAGTGTCCTGGCCGTCGAACAACTAATTAATGTTAAATTTTGATTCCCCGTTAGGTCTTTTAGAAGAACAACAGGTTAGAAAACTAATAGTCGCGGGTTCAAGTCCCGTCGTAAAGGGTAAATATTTTTTCAAAACAAATAAATAAATATAAATATAAATATTTCCAACACTCACACCAATTAGCTTAGCCCCAAAGTAAGCACTGTAAGGCTTGTGTTATGGGATACTAGGGTAACGGATAGAATACATATATTGTACACATATATGTATATTTATATAGAAATACATATTAAACATCCATGACTGGAGTACAAATGCTCGTATTCATCACACAAACATCGGCCCCCACCGGGATTCGAACCCGGAACCTCTCGAGTCGGCGTCACCATGAAAACCGGCGTATAAACCACTCGCCCACGGAGGTCTTCAAGCATGTCATTAAGATAGCAGTATTATAAAAATAAAATTTACTAAACCTAAATGTGTTCCCACCAGAATAATCGCTACCCAACTGCCACCGAGCCTGACCTCATACCTAACAGTAGTAGACCCGTACCGGATAAAGTCACCAGCGGAGACTTTAGAAACAGAGATTCCTTTACCACTGGGCGCTCAGCTACTGGTCGTCTATATAGGCAAGAGGACCCACGAGAACTTAATGAAGCAAGCGGAGAAGCTGCAAGAGTTTCAAGAGAACGGAGAGGAGATGGTCGCTAAGTTTAAGAAGGTGAGTGAATTCTATTTAAGTGAGATAGTCTAAAGTCTTAAATGTACTAGATTATATTCAGGATTTTAGGGTTAAATATTACTAGCTGTGGCCCGGGGTTTATTTGCGGTATTCTTCCGCAGTAAAACGTAGCCTATGTGTTAATCCAGGGTGTCAGCTAACTCCATACCACATTTTACTAAAATCGCTCCTACCGTTTAGACGTGAATAAGTATCAAACATACACTCTCACAACTCACAAACTTTCGCCTTTATAATATTAGTGTGATTTTAAATTTCCATGGTCACCAACACTATAGTAATTCATGTTACTAACGGAATTGCTATATAAGGATATATAATTTCAAGGTCACAGCAATATGAATGCTGCTGTTAGGCCCTTTACTTTTGGTACCTTAGGGCAGCGCCATGATGTGCAACACACAAAGATGCCGCTCAAAGCTCTTATTATATCATAAGCTATCACTGAAAATAATTTAGGTACTGAAAACTATCGAGTTACCCAAAACTTAAAATTGGTTCAATTGCCTTTTAGCTCAATATTGCGAAACATGAGATTCACAACTTGAAAAAATATGAGTTGTTGTCACTTGATCTTTCTGTATCTTGACCAGTTAACCTTAGGTTTATGTGTCTATTTTTTTGCAGAATCAAGAAGCTGAGCGAGAAAGACAACGGGAGTTTCCCCAAACAGGCATGAAGAGGGATAAGTCTTTGCTCTTCACCGCTGTGCCTGAAGAGGACCACACTATGATATCGCCTCCAAACCGCGAGGACCAACCCTCACTCAGTCAAGAACGGAAACCAAGCATGCCTGATGTGGTTCCTTTTACCAACAAGCCCAGACAAAGGCCCACAAAACTATCGCTCAGTTTCAAGACCCAAAAATCCTTGGACGAGGAAGTGAAAGAGAACGAAACCGTGTTCACGGGTCAAACCAGCGTGTGTGGTACTCCCATGGTGGAATACAAGCGGTTACACGGGAATATGCTGTCCATATGCCGACAGAATCCAGACAACCAACCCGAGAAACCACACGAGCCTGACGTGCTAAAAAACATCGAAAACTGTGCCAAAATCAATTTGGAAAACGAGAAGAGGGACAACAGAATCGTCCTCGACATCAACTGCATCGGCGACCATTACATCAACAAACCTGATCCAATCAGAAAACTGGCCAGTGTCACTGACATTCAAGATTCTTTCAAAAGACTTCCCAACCGGACCAACTCCAGATTCAAATTGAAAAAGGCGAACATTCCCTTAAACGACGACATGAGTCCGTCGCCGGAACGCGAGCTCCAGAAGGACAGAACTTCTTTAACGATAAACGATCCTTCGTTCCCGGTGTTCAGAAACGACGGCGTTGCCATATCAGAATCCCTGTTCAACCAGTACATAGAGCAGTACTACGCACGAATGAAACAAGAGGCCAAAGAAGACAATATGTTCACTTACAACATGAAGTTGTGCGAGCAGGAGAAATTCGAAGATTTCGACTCGGAGCTGAATAGATCACCGCAGAGGACGCCCAAAAAGATAGTCAAAGAAGCGCCTAAGACTGTGCCCGTGGACCAGTCTAGAAGGAAATCTTTGTCTTTGCCGTTGAAATCGTTGTCGGACAGTGCAGATACGCAGATGGGAACGGATTCCGAGGCAACCAGTTTCAAAAAGAAGCTTACAGGGGTACAACTGACTCCGCTGATGGAGAAATTGAGCCATTTGGCTTTCTCTGACAAGTCCAGCGGTTACAGCAGCCGGGTGATGACCCCGCTGGAACTGCGCGAGTTTCCCACGCCAGCGACTGAGAGACAAGTTACCTTTTCTGACAGGTGAGAATTTTAATCTTTTTAGCGTTCTAATCAATTATTTGGTCCAAGTTCTTTTATTTTTTAACTGACTTCAAAAAAGGAGGAGGTTCTATGTTCCACTGTATATTTGATTTTTTTTTGTTGCCATAAGAACCTCCTATTCAACTAGGTGATAGAAAACTTTTTGATCTAAAAAGTCGTTCTCAAGTGATAGCAAGACCCGGGGAAAATGGGATTCATACATAAGTAAGAGATATTTGTGAACCTCATTTCGATAATTAAGATCAAATAATGAAATATTGCACATTCTCTTATTTGTGTTTCACCAATGGAATTTTGTAGTAATGAAACATATTGTCATACATTGTTAGGTGTTAGTAAAAGAAAATGGTTTAATATCAAAATAGTACGACAAAGGTTTAGTTTAAGTATTGTAGCTCCTAATACAAGCATTATCTCCGAAGTTTTCTCAAGTAAAGACTTACCAAGCTAGGCACATTCAGACCTAATTAACCCCAGAGTCATGACTATACTTTACTCACATAGTTTTAAAGGCACATTTTTACTAACATTTGGACTGTATAACATTGTCTGAAAATAAACTATTATTATTATAGTAATATGTTTTAAGTATTTAACTGCTAGATGTTTAAATCTAAAGATTTTATTTTTCTTTACATTTATACATCTAGCAGTTAGCTTAAAAAATATAACTATAATCGCTAACTCTTCTTTCAAATTTTTAATACTTAAGTAAAGGTATTCATTTGACATTGTGGGTAACCTACAATGCGAAGAAATGGCGCTGCTTTGCAGCTTAAGGTTAGAGAAAATTCGAAACCGCCATCAGGGCCGCAGTAACATAATGGTCAGTGCATTCGCCCGGATAGCGAAGGGTGCGGGTTCGAGTCCTGTCTGCTGCCTGGTCCGCGTGAAATTTTGTTTGAACAAAATTTTCTTGATTCAGTTTAAGAATCGTAGCTCCTAATACAAACATTATCTCTGTAATTTTTCTCAAGTAAAGACTAACCAAGCTAGGCACTTTCAGACCGAAGCCTCAGCGCCAAGATTCGGAGTCCGACTCGGAATCTGAGAGCGACATCGATAAACTAGCCGAATTCGGTCAGCGAGCCGCTAAGTGCGCTTTATTCGTGAGCGGTCTCCATAATATGGCGTTACTGTGTCTACTCCAGCCTACACCACAACCGGAAACCATACATGCCTTGGTAAGTCGTGTCATCATCAGCATATTAATGTCCCACTGCAGGGGCACAGGCCTCTCCTATGAATGGAATAGGGAGACTGGGCCGTGACCCATGTGTGCGGTATCCACTATATTACTGTCTACTGCAACCGGAAACCATACATGCCTTGGTAAGTTGTCTCATCATCAACCTATTAATGTCCCCACTGCAGGGGCACATGCCTCTCCTATGGATAGAATTGGAGACTGAGCCGTGACCCACGTGAGTGGTATCCACAATATGGCGTTACTGTCTCTACTGCAACCGGAAACCATATATGCCTTGGTAAGTCATGTCATCATCAGCATATTAATGTCCCACTGCAGGGGCACAGGCCTCTCCTATAGATGGAATAGGGAGACTGGGCCGTACCCACGTGAGCGGTCTCCATAATATAGCGTCACTGTGTCTGCTGCAGCCTACTCCACAAACGGAAACAAAACATGCCTTGTTAAGTACTTTAATCATTCTGCTGTTGAGTTATTTTTCATTAAGTAAAACGGGTGGCAGGTTAGGCCAAGGGACTTAGGACCCTGTTTGTCAGGAAAGCATAAGAACTTCTGGATAGTTAGGACCCCGTACCTTTTACGAGGAAAACCTTTGTGGGACTTCTCTCGCAGTTGTATATATTGCATTGTACTCCACAGCCGGATACAATACAAACCCTGGTAAGTACTTTAATTATTCTGCTGTTGAGTTATTTTTCATTAAGTGAAACGGGTGGCAAGTTAGGCTAAAGGACTTAGGATTAGGACCATGTTAGTCAGGAAAGTATACGAACTTTTGGATAGTTCTTTTTTTTATAGATAGGTCCGACAAATGACTCCACCCCACCTGTTGTTAAGTGACGGTGAATTTCAGACGTGAAGATAGCTGGTACAGCCGTTCTTCCTGCCACACCATCCATCCTCACCTTGCCGACCTCCAAGTTGCTTCTTCACACCTCTTTTAAAGGATCCCAGGTTGTAAGAAGAAGGGAACAAGTTAGGACCCCGTTCCTTTTACGAGGTTAACCTTTTGGGAATTCACACGCAGTAGTGTGTCTACTGCATTCTACACCACAGCCGGATACAATACAAAACCTGGTGCGTCGAGTGCTCCAATCATTGAACAAGTATGCTATTTCTACTACCAAAACTTCCAAGTGCGCTTTATTCGCGAGTGGTGTCCACAATATGGCGTTACTGTGTCTACACTCTACTGCAGCCTGCAACAACCGTACATGCCCTTGTAAGTCGTGTCATCATCAGCCTATTAATCTCCCCACTGCAGGGGCAATGGCATATCCTACAGATGGAATAGGGAGACTGGATCGTGACCCACGTGTGCGGTATCCACAATATGGCGTTACTGTCTCTACTGCAAACGGAAACCATACATGCCTTGGTAAACACTTTAATCGTTCTGCTGTTGTTTTTTTTGTTTTGCGAAATAGGTGGCAAGAAAAATCTGGGAAAATAAAATCCCGTTATCTTCACGAGGTAAATCTTGTTACCTCACTAACAGTAGATAGATACGTAAATGTGTCGTGGCAAGATATAGTTAGAAACAAGACATGCGTTATCTATCACAGTGGTGGTGGAATTGCTTATGGCAAATTCGTAAAATATAGTCAATGATTTCAGGACCTATGAAAATATGTAGCATCTATTTTTGGGACTTGTTTCTGGAGAACCTATCTGAAATTTATAAAGTATGAGTCGGTGATTTTAGGACATGAAAACGCACCTTCTATAAATGATCTGTCATCATCATCAGCATATTAATGTCCCCACTGCTGGGCCATGGCCCTCCACGCGGGCTCAGTGCGGATTGGTGGCTGCTAACGAATGCAGATGCAGCCGGGACCAACTGCTTAACGTGCATTCCGAAGCACGGAGGAGCTCGAGATAATAAATTTATGGTCACCCAGTCAATGACCGATCACTGCGAAAGTTGCTTAACTGCAACGATCGCAGCCGAACGCGCTAACCACTTGCATTACCGAGCTCTTCGATGATCTGTCAACCTATGGGTAAATACGTAAGCCCCATTAGTATCACTCCTTCAAACATCAATTTCATCAAATCTTATCGAAACGGTTTTATTCATATTTTTTACTTTCTTTGAACAGTGGGAAACATCGCTAAACGCACTAGGCCCCATCGAGACAAAGTGTATGGAACCGTTAGCCGCGGGCCCCGAGGCCATGGACTACAGCTACCTGACCCTGGACCCGGACTGGGGCACCGTGAAGAAGGGCGGGCCCTGGGCCGCGCTCGACATCGCCACCATGGGGCTCATACACAACGAGTTCGCCGACGACCCGGAGCTGTCAGAGTTTATATTGAGGTGAGTTGGTACTTGCTTCTGTGGTGGCGACATGCCCCACATATAATCGACCTCCATGACGACCTCCTTGGCCGAGTGGTTTGTACGCCGGGTTTCATAGTGTCGCCGACTCGAGAGGTCCCGGGTTCGAATCCCGGTGGGGGCAGATGTTTGTGTGATGAATACGAGCATTTGTACTCCAATCATGGATGTTTAATATATATTTCTATATAAATATACTTCTGATGTACAGTATATGTATTCTATCCGTTACCCTAGCATCCCATAACACAAGCCTTACAGTGCTTACTTTGGGGCTAGGCTAATTGGTGTGAGTATCGGAAATAGTTATTATTATTATTTATAATGAACATGAAGGAAATAATCACTCGCCTCCTCAAGAGATGACGCTACAGACGCTGCGGATTGCGACAATTTCGGAGGCTAACACTCCATCATATATACAATGCCCGAACAGCATCAGTCGGCCGGGGCCCCAAGCTACCATCACCCAGCTTGGAGGAAGATCTTCGAATTTGGCCTTCCTACACTTCTATAGCACTAGTAACTTAGATTAAAACAAAAGGGGAAGATACGGTACGCTCATACTAGCATCAAATAAATATGATCCGACTCAACTACATAGCAACTCTCACACACGCACACTTCTGTAAATAAACATTCAACCGAGCGAGCGGGACAGAATTGTACGCTTCAACGCAGCGCGAGTACGCGTCGCTTTGCATTCGACTGCGTTTTATTTTCTCTATCTACAGACGGCTGAGCTGTATTGTTGTCTTTTTCTTGATAACAAATGGCTAATCAGTAACTCGCATTCATGGCAAACCGTGATTTTTGAGTTCTTTTTTTATAATTTTACGAATGAAAAGTGTTGCCGTGGTATTTGTTATTTGATCTTGAACTATTAGTAATGCCTTCGATGCTTTTAAAAAGAACAGATTCTTTTTAAAAAGAACAGATTCTTTTTAAAAGCATCGAAGGCATTGTTTTATCTTTATAACACAGAATATACGTAAATTTGTTCATAGCTACCCGCGACTTTGTCTTCATGGAAAGGGGGGTAAAAGTTTGTATGGCAAATGAATATTTATTTCCCATATAAACTTTCACCCCCCTTCTCACCAACTTAAAGGATTATTTCTATATTACTACTTAAACACGCGCTGGAAACCAGACTTAATATGTTCGTGTTTTGTTTAGGAGCGAAGACAGCGTCGTAGTAGGAAACCGTTGCGGGGGCGCTCAGGTGTACTACCAGGAGGCGGGGGCCAGGACCGCCGGCCCGCCCCCGCCCTCTGACCCCCTCGCCGCCGCCCCGCTGCGGGCCCGGCGCCGCCTCACGCGCGACCACGCCGCCCTGCTGCTGTAACGTGAGTACAGCGCCCCCCCTCCGCCCCGCCCCGCCCCGCTGCGGGCCCGGCGCCGCCTCACGCGCGACCACGCCGCCCTGCTGCTGTAACGTGAGTACAGCGCCCCCCCTCCGCCCCGCCCCGCCCCGCTGCGGGCCCGGCGCCGCCTCACGCGCGACCACGCCGCCCTGCTGCTGTAACGTGAGTACAGCGCCCCCCCTCCGCCCCGCCCCGCCCCGCTGCGGGCCCGGCGCCGCCTCACGCGCGACCACGCCGCCCTGCTGCTGTAACGTGAGTACAGCGCCCCCCCCTCCGCCCCGCCCCGCCCCGCTGCGGGCCCGGCGCCGCCTCACGCGCGACCACGCCGCCCTGCTGCTGTAACGTGAGTACAGCGCCCCCCCTCCGCCCCGCCCCGCCCCGCTGCGGGCCCGGCGCCGCCTCACGCGCGACCACGCCGCCCTGCTGCTGTAACGTGAGTACAGCGCCCCCCCTCCGCCCCGCCCCGCCCCGCTGCGGGCCCGGCGCCGCCTCACGCGCGACCACGCCGCCCTGCTGCTGTAACGTGAGTACAGCGCCCCCCCTCCGCCCCGCCCCGCCCCGCTGCGGGCCCGGCGCCGCCTCACGCGCGACCACGCCGCCCTGCTGCTGTAACGTGAGTACAGCGCCCCCCCTCCGCCCCGCCCCGCCCCGCTGCGGGCCCGGCGCCGCCACACGCGCGACCACGCCGCCCTGCTGCTGTAACGTGAGTACAGCGCCCCCCCTCCGCCCCGCCCCGCCCCGCCCCGCTGCGGGCCCGGCGCCGCCTCACGCGCGACCAGGCCGCCCTGCTGCTGTAACGTGAGTACAGCGCCCCCCCTCCGCCCCGCCCCGCCCCGCTGCGGGCCCGGCGCCGCCTCACGCGCGACCACGCCGCCCTGCTGCTGTAACGTGAGTACAGCGCCCCCCCTCCGCCCCGCCCCGCCCCGCCCCGCCCCGCTGCGGGCCCGGCGCCGCCTCACGCGCGACCACGCCGCCCTGCTGCTGTAACGTGAGTACAGCGCCCCCCCTCCGCCCCGCCCCGCCCCGCTGCGGGCCCGGCGCCGCCTCACGCGCGACCACGCCGCCCTGCTGCTGTAACGTGAGTACAGCGCCCCCCCTCCGCCCCGCCCCGCCCCGCCCCGCCCCGCTGCGGGCCCGGCGCCGCCACACGCGCGACCACGCCGCCCTGCTGCTGTAACGTGAGTACAGCGCCCCCCCTCCTCCTAATAATTATTCGTTTGTTTATTCTAGGAGATCAAGAGAATCTTCAAAGTTCTTGCAGCAGCATCACATTAAAATCAAGTGGATCGACCGCAGGCATAGCGGACTCCTGCATTCAGGTTTTATCACATTAATGTGTCTCGTAGGGCAGATAACACCTAAAAAGGTATGTTTCAAACGAAGATTTATTGAAACTTTTGGGCTGCTCTTCCGCGCGTATTTTTTTATTATGGCAAGAATGCCGTCGTCGTCTTTACAACAAAGTGTGATTATCCGACATAAAATAAAAGGAAAAATGCGTCAAAGTTCTTTTCAAAATATCAATCACGGAAGAAGTAAGTTCAGAGGTCCATGCACGAATTTTGACAGCTCTGTAATCGTATCGTATCTTCAAAGTTTCTATAAAAACTAAGCAGCGCCACTACCGGACGGAAGAACAAACTGGCTCCTTCCATTCAAAATTTCAGTGACGATACGGTTGAATAGATTTGTTGATAGAAGAGCTGTCAAAATTCGTGCATGGGCCTCAGATGGATGCTGTTCATAAGGTACTTACTTTTCTTGTTAACTGAACCCATTCAGTTAACAAGAAAAGTAAGTACCATTACAGTCAATGTCTTTATTTAATTTTGTTTTTAAGATTTTAGACCACCTTCTGCTAATGGGAACAGAATGCAAAATAAAATCCTTTGTGTACCGTAAATTGCGATAGAACAATGCATGTAATCTTCATTGCTACATTTCGATTGGTGATAGTATCGAGCACGACCTTAAAAAATGTAATCAGATTAATGAAAAATAGTAATCATACATTTTATATTTTCGTTTAGTTACTTCTATTACTTGATATTATTTTATGTAGTTTAACTAAACGGAATGTTTTATCATTGTATTCTGTTAGTAGAACTAGGGAATTGTAGTTTATTACGTACAGAAAAAGAAGCTAAAACTTATATATGATGTCTAGATAAACTGTACTTAGTATTACGTTATACCCACCGAATAATAAAAAATCTCATCTTATGAATAATAAGATTGTCAGATGCTGTGAAAGTAATTATTGAATAAGATTTATTTGTAATTTAAATGAATTCAATTGATTGCGTGTAGCATTTTGGTAATATGTTATATTTTTTTAAGTAAAATTTGTTTAACTTTTCCGTTTGTTGCCAAGTTTGGATTTAGTAAAAAATTTGCTCTCTAGAGATAAAATATTTCATTGAGTTTGCCTGAGCGGAGCACGGTCTCCAAGACTGGCAGTTGTTTATTAATGTGTGAAATAATTCTTAACTGGATAATGTCCACTTATAACGAGCGACGTTATGAGCAAAACTCAACGAATAAGTTGTTATTTTTAACAGTATAAAAATGAAACTTGGCCGTGTTATATGACAGTCTGTACGCACCCTTATAGTATAACCGATACACTCAGGCGCGGTCCGAAGGGGGGGTCACAGGGGACATGCTCTTGGGAGCCCCCCCCCCCCCCCCAAGATCTTAGGTCAAATTGAAAAATCTTGTGTCAAAAAGTGTCTTGTGGAATAATGTTTATTTTATTCCAGATACCTATTTTTTATTAGTGTAGTGAGTGACCCCCTCCAAAATTTCAGGCTGCAACCGCACCTGGATACACTATCAGAACTAAAAATACATGCCACCTTATTCCAAAACGCGGACTAAAGTTAGTCTTGGTTTAAACATAATGCTGTTTTCTTTTTAGCAAACAGCATCAGTTTTATACCGCGTTATCTTAGTTGACGTTTTGTAATAGGCTAACGACCAAATGTAATCGCGCCGTAACTCGGTTCTTGAAAACGACCAGCTAGCTGTAGCGCTTTCCTTATCACTCAAAAGGATGGACAATCGTTTCATTTGACAAGTGAAGTAAAACGGCCAGCCAATGACAGCACAACTTAGCTTCCAGCAATACTAGTAGATACGTTTCCGTGAATCGAGTACATTCAGCATCTATATAGTCTTGCCTTGAAACAAGACCATGAACCAGAAGGGATTGATGATATTTGTATGAGTACGCCTCTGTATGCTCCCATTCAACCGCACTAGTTGATGTACACTCGGAGGCATGGCTAAATAAATCTGGTTTCGAGTTGATATGTGCAACAACCCTTAGGCGATAATCGCTTACGTCAGTACCCTTAGCACGAACCAATATAAAATTTATGACTTTGCGAGTGAGAATCGCCACCGAGATCGCAAGCATTAAAAATCTGAAGTAAGAGCTCCTTGATATTTGACGCGTAATTTTAACTATTCGAATTCGAAAATGGTTCGTGCCTAGGTAAAGATCAGGAGCTCTACTCTCTTTCTCCGAAACGAAATTTCGGTAACGAACGAATTTCAAACGAAATTTCGCCAGTGTCTCTACTCTATTTCATTTTCGAACAGGCACATTAACTTCGGAACCATAAACAGTTTTCGTGAACGAATGGAATGAGTCATGTTTGTGAGTTCTTTTTATCTCTACTTTTTGATGACATTAAAAGAACCTTCTTTGACAGTGTTAGCCGACTAATTTGTAGAGTCGATACAATCTACTCTATGTCAACCTCAATTTGTCGTTTAATACTTTGAAGTATCGAAATTACAAAAAATAATAAAAAAATGGTTTATTTGTTAATTTTACATGCTAAAAATGTTACTCGAGCTAAGCAGCTATTATTAAAAATACTCTTGCAAGTATTTTAGGCTTAATTAAAACGAAAATGAAAAGGTAACACTTTTCATTTCGTCGATTTAAGGTTAAAATTTCGAACAATTATCTGTCAAATTCAACTTTTCCTTCGAAAGTTTTGTGAATTAGAGTAGGCTTGGAGAATTTAATTGTCAAAATATTTCGGACTAACGAATTTTCGAAATGAAAAGGAAACAGAGTAGGGAACGTGCGAAATTTCGATCGAAATTTCGTTTTTCGTTGAAATAGAGTAGGCCTCCAGAATTTATTGTTTCCTCCTATGATTGTAGGTAGGAGAAAACAATTTGCCAGTTTAAGGCGCAACACAAACGGCAGGTTGGAGCGTCGCGTCTAAAGACGTATGGCTAAAACCGCGTGGACGCACGGATGGTTGTTGCGTGAGACTTGAAAAAAAGTGTTTGTCAACAGAATTGACGTCAAAAAAGAAGGTTACCAGGTTTCCTATAACTTACCCACCCCCAGTAGGTTTGTGGACCGCATGAATATGCAAGAGTCTTCGACGAATCGGTTGCCATCCATAACGTAGCTGATCTGTTTGATAAAAAAAGGTTGGTCCAACGACCCAAGAACGTCAAGAAACTACGTCAGTCTTGAGACAGACGCACTACATTAGGGCCAATTCACACAGTGACGCGGCGAGTACATTCTCACTGAATTGAAAGCAGTATAAAGTAATTTCAACTTCAGTTACATACAGAAGACCAGTATCTCTTGAAAAACGCAATAAACCGCACGACCGTGCGCTTGACACCGCGGAACCGTTTCTAGCGATACTGGTCTTTCCAGTACCAATGTAAAGTTATTTACAGGTCTTTTAAAATTATTTCACACTGCTTTCAGTGAGAAAGTGTCGTCTGCTGTCATTCCGGTGAATCGGCCTTACAATTCGGTGCCTGTAGCATGAGCACCATAATTTACATTATATCACGTTTTTTATCGCGTCTTACTGTCAAACTCCATTGTAATTTGACAATAAAGCGTGATGAAATCGCGATATATCGCGGTGCTCATGCTAGGGGGGGCAAGTGTAATTTGTCCTACTTTCGAGTCTTCGATCAACAATTCTATAAGTTGAACCTAATAACAACTATCTAGCAAAAAAATAAGATTACAAAACAAACTCTTGTTCCTTTTACAAAGTACCGAGACAGATTTTACAGACTGGTCTGTTATGTATTGAATTGTTGATCGAAGCTTTGAGTACATGTTTAATAGCAAAAAGCTATCCTTTCGACAAGTGTGCACATACTGACGCTCAACGTTAATTATAAAAAGAGTCCTACTATTTGGAATTCTTTGTCTACGCACGTGTGGGTCCTTCTTACAATCTGGGGTCCTTAAGAGGCGTGAAGAAGAATTTTTGCAGTCCGGCAAGGTGAGGATGGTTGGTGTAGCAGTTTATTACTGCTGTACCAGCTATCTTCGTGTTTGGGCCTTATGGCCACTTAACACCAGGTGGAGTAGTCATTTGCCTACGTGGCTACATAAAAAAATGGGTGCGTGTACTTATGTAGGCGCGTGAGAAGTTATCCTTCTTTGGCATCGTTTAAAATTAGTTTTTAATTGCAAGCAAATAATTAATTACAATAAATTAATAAAAAGTCTGGAAAAGGACACAGTCAATAAAGTTCAGTTTTAATTTGGAAAAAAAAAATCAAAATATTCAATTAAAATCGCTACTGAATATAATTTATTAGAACATGTGTGATTTGCACTTGTATGAAACTCAAACACGTAATCCGAATATGTCCGAAATCCTAGAAACATGTGGATAAATATCATAAATATGAATACCTATAACTGTTACTTTATTACAAAAAATAAAGATGTGGTTTTTGTTTCTACTACACCAATGGTCAAGAGATGGCGCTGTAGTCTCCTGAATCGCGCTTTGGTTCCGTTGTTCCAGATTAATAAATACTTTTGATATTATAAATATGAATACCTATAACTGTTACTTTATTACAAAAAATAAAGATGTGGTTTTTGGTTCTACTACACCAATGGTCAAGAGATGGCGCTGTAGTCTCTTGAATCGCCCTTTTGTTTCGTTGTTCCAGATTAATAAATACTTATGATATTATAAATATGAATACTTATAACTGTTACTTTATTACAAAAAATAAAGATGTGGTTTTTGGTTCTACTACACCAATGGTCAAGAGATGGCGCTGTAGTCTCCTGAATCGCGCTTTGGTTCCGTTGTTCCAGATTAATCAATACTTTTGATAGGCCTTCACAATGCAGTCGTTAGCACCCACTAAATAGAGATTCTATTTATTCTAAGCGACCAACTTCATGCTGTTAAAATTTTGTGTTACAGTGATGCGTGCGCATCTTAAAATTTCACTCTCATCATTTTTTCATAACGCGCCTAAAGAAGTATAACTTCAAAAAAACCTGCCTGCTTTCACTAACCAATCGCTGCTCTATTTTGCAATCGCACGCAAGTGCTTCTACGTAAGGTTTAGCAAAGGTCTTAACTCTGAAACTCTTTAGTCCAAATATTTATTTTCAGATGTTGCTAGTTTTATAACAATTTATGTTTTGTTGTTAGTATACTATTTCTGTAATTACTTGCCATTAGCTTTTAAGAAAACATGTGTATAAGTTTTAAAGTATTGTATACTTATATTTCAAGGCATTGTTGTGCCTACGACACCTTAAGCCTCTAAATAATGGCATTTATTTAACCAGACTCCACATGCTCCCTTTGTAATGATAATGTTAACATTCATTAACTGTCAATGGAGTTGCTGAAAGCCTAAAAAGCCCGGTCTCCAACGCGTTGTTTTGCCATACACAATCAACAAAACTTTTTTTCACTCCACATATTTCAGTCCTGTTTATTTTGTGTACGACAGCCGCGTGAGCAGTAGACGGCGTGTGTAACGAAACATGTTTCAGAAACAAAGCTTTGTGTATATGTTTTTGTTGAATGAGTTTAAAAAACTTTTGCTGGAGACCAGGCTTAATCAATTCAACTTTCTGTCGACGGATCGAACTTTTTTCTAATCGTTTCAAGAACTCAAATTTATTTAACACTGCTGTTTAATATGATTTAACTAATCTAAACACGCCCTTCTAGTATATCATCGATAAAAACGATAACATCGCACCGGCCCGGTATCCGGTAAAACAATAGCCATTAACAAGAGGTTAAGAATTTTATTTTCTTTAGAATGTAGATCGGAATCTACTACACATAGATATCTTTCTTCCGCCCGCATCGCCATGCCAAGATTATCGCAGCTCAATATTGTAGAAACGCAACCCCGTCCCTTAAGAGCGCAAGCGTTTAGGTTAGAATTGCTAAATAAGTTAAAAGGATAAAAACCACTAAAGCAGAGCTATTGAAACCAATATGTAGTGTCGTTAGAGTATAATAATAGATAATTTGAGAACGTGTATAATTTTCGTTTCGTTTAGTGTCCTTTTGTTATTATCTAATAGGGGTATTTATTACATCTTACGATAATGCTTGTGCATGTATTACTCAGTATTATTGTTAATTCCATGATAATGCATTCCAGATTTATATTTTGTATACTTATGCTTATTATATGAAAAAATTGCCAAATTAAATGAGTAGTCCCTAAAATTTTAATTTTAAGAAAATGTAAAAATATACAAGAGACACATCCGAACTGCGTCCAATGGTTATTATACTATTTAATTTTTATACTTTGCAGCTATTGAAAATGGTTATAGTTAAGTTATTTATTATAATGTTATGTCATGTTTTTTTTATATATTTTGTCTATTTGTTTTGGGTAGTGTTGCCATATTTGGAAGAGTGCCAATACAGGTGAATGTAAAATTTATTTATAGTAATTATACATAAGCGTTATTAAGATTTTAATAAAAACTGACAACTCTAATGGTTCTTTATATTATCTAGTTACATGAGTATAATACGACAAACAACTCTACTATCATATTCAGTATACATATACACCCCATACATGTTAATAAATATTTGAAAAATCTACTGAAATTCCGTCAAAAGAGGATAGAAGGATAAATGGATAGGCTGAATGAAGAAGAACCATGATGGTATTACAAAACTATTGTTTATTAAAGTCGCTCACAACACAGTACTATATACTAAAAATGTGAATATGGTGTCGTCAGAATCTATAATATTATATTATCTGATACATAAATATATATCGCTATGAAATTGGAAAATGCAAAGGATCACGTCTTTTAGAGTACTCAAAAAATACTGGTGAATCGTGTTATAGTTTCATAGTCGGAAGATAAAGAATATGATCTAATAATTTATCTAGATGCGCGCGACTTCTCTCTTGTTCGTCTTGAGCGGGCAGGGCTTCGTACGCCTAATACCGTGACTCGATCATATTCTTTTCGCTTCGACAGAGTCGGCTACGTTCGAACCCTTCGCTTCTAAACATGTTCTTACCGGCGCCCACCGGCCGGACGGCGTTTTCGGCAATCGCCATTTCGAAAGGACTTTTTCAATCAAACATTTTCAAAACTTCAACACAGTTAGTTTCAAGGAACTTCATCCTTTACTTCTTGTTTCAATACCTTTTCAAACAAACAAAATCAATGTTAGACTTAGTGTTAAACCTTTATTAGATCTAATATTACATCCTAGAGGCAACTACGCCCCATCGGGGCCATTACATGCTAACTTACATACTATAAACTTTGTATCACGTATCGTTAACATAAAACGAAACTCTTGGTGCCCAGTGGCACGACGCTTACAAAATTCGTGTTATACAAGTAACATTTACAACTAGTCTTAGTTTCCGGCCTAACCAGGTACAGTATAAATGCATAAGGCCAGTGGAGACATGGTTGGGAAGGTGTGGTGTGTCAAAACCTATGCTATGTTTGAAGGTGACGACAGCGTGACGAACTTACTAATAACGACCTGCAAAGTCAAACAGGGGAGTAACCATGGTGTTAAGGACAATAATATCAAAGTGGGCTGTGTGGAATCATGACACTTCTCTACCAACTTATTCTTGAACTCTTAATGCAAGTTACAACACTCATTAAATGATTATTGTAATCCTAGAAATTCATTTATAAATGGGTAAAGAAATGGATGGAATTTAACAATAATGATGCATCTTAAAACTAAAATACTAACTAGATATGGAACTTTCAAAAGCAAACAAGTTTTGATACAATTAACAATTTGATGGTGCATTATACAATTTGTCTTTGGTTTCTCAATTGCATCTCTCTAAATTTATTGGACCAGATTTAGAAAATATATTGAGTTAGAAATTTTTGTAATAACAAATCAATTTTTAGCTTACATATTTTCAATATTCTGTTCATGTCAAACTTAAATAATTAATGGCATGACTATTATAAATTTACAAAAGTTATAAGTATATTCCAAACAAAAACCTAGAAACAATGAGAATTACCGAAAATCATTTTACATTAATTTATTTTATGCCTGCTGATTCTAAATCGAACTCTTTTACAATAAAGTTTGGAATACATTTATAAAATGTATAATTGATATAATGACTTATAAAAATATACAAGCAAGACAATTTTTTAATCAAATGATATGAACTTATTTAAACACTTAAAATAATAAACGTAAATGGATATGAAATGATGAGCTTGCATACACAGTAGACTAGTCAAGTCCATATCAAGGAAGCCAGAACAGGGAGAAGCAAAAAATCTGCACCGTACCATATCTGTCATCTGTTACCATAAACTTGGCACTTAGTTGAGAGAACAATCTCTAACCAAGATATTTATGTTCAAAGTGGATTATGAGAATGTAATATATTGAATAATTTATCTTTTTTAAACAGAGGCTCACATTGGTAGTCAGTGTAACAACAATAACATATTCTGATCAGGGCAGTTCCAATGATAGGAAGGTATTATGACCCGTTATCCCTATGGGGGATAGATTCATTATAAACGTAAGTAAAAGCTTGGATTAGTCACTACGTTATTTTGTCTCTGTCAAATTACAAATGTTATTTGTATCTAGATTCGTGGAGCATAGCAGCGTCAAGATCGTATGTTTGTATTAGAACACATTAAAAAGACTACAAATTATTGTTATTAGTAAGAGGTTTAGTCCATAGCGATGGCGTTGAACCTCAGTAGTGTCAAGTTAAGATTCTTAGTATATAATAAGCACATTTATTTAAAACTAGAGATATTTGCGTCTCACTGTTCTCGCCGTTGCTTGCTGGTATGGTATGGTATAGTATTGTTTGATAGGATATCGAGAGGATTGAACGGGGTTGGCCGCCTACGAATTGAGTAAGACTTATGGTATGGTATGACAGGATGTCAGGATGTATGAGAGGATAGGACGTGGAGGCCCGCCTATCGCTCGGGATGGTAATAAGGATTACGGTATGGTATGATGGTGTGGGACGGGCACTTTTACCGCTCGGGGTGGTAGTAAGATTTATGGTATGGTATGCTAAGATGTTAGGATGTGTGACAGGATAGGAAGGGCATGTCTACTTTTGGGGTGGTAGAAAGACATGGTATGATATGATAGGATGTCAGGATGGATGAAAGGATACGACGGGCATGTTTACCTTTGGGGTGGTAGAAAGACATATGGTATGGGATATGATAGGATGTCAGGATATATGAGATTATAGGACGGCCACGTCTACCACTCGGGGTGGCAGTAAGACTTATGGTATGCTAGGAATAAAGGAATAAGTATTAGGAAAGAATGTTTGATAGGATAGGATGGGATGACACGTCTACCGCTCGGGGTGGTAGTAAGACTTACGCGGGGAGTAGGAGCGCTCTCGCTCGTAGCGGCGGCTGCGGCGGTAGTGCGGCGACGGCGAGCGGTGCCGGTAGCGGTAGTAGTCGCGCTCGCGGTACCCGCCGCCGCCACCGCCGCGGTAGTAGTAGTCGCTGCGTACGAAAATGGTACGTTAGAGAGGTAATACCGTAAAGTGAGCTCTATGGCGCAAGTGGTTAGCGCATTCGGCTGCGATGGAAGTTGAGAAACCGCGTGGTAGGTCTTGTCACAATCTCCCTATTCCATCTATAGCGAAGGCCTGTGCCCCAGGAGTAGGGACATTAATAGGCTGATAATGAATAGAATCTTAGGTACCTTAGGTTGCGTAGGAAACATGGTTAGAAAGGTAACAAACAGTACGATAGCGTTATAAAATGTAAGGTATCTAGTAATAGTCCCTGTGTGACGAACATGATTTTTTTTATGTTAAAAGGATGGCTAACCAACTTATGGCGCGGTAAGCGGTCACCATAACCTATATACACGCTTGCGATATCAAAAATATCACTCGCACCATTGCCTACCCTGGCACGTTTAAGGTAACAAACAAACGACTGCTTAATAGAATCTTAGGTATTAGTGTTATACCGTACAGTAATAGAATCTGAAATCTTTGAGGAGCTTGATGGCTCATATGGTTAGCGCATTCGGCTGCGATGAAAGTTGAGCAACTTTCGCAATGCTCGGTTTTTGTATGGGTGACCAAAAGTTAACTATCTCGAGCTCCTCCGTGCTTCGTATGAAACTTGCCACGTAAAAGAAGTAATACCATTGGAATGATACAATCAAAGGTAGTGGTAGTCGTTGCGCAGATGACATGGCATGTATGCAAAAAATAACAAACAATACGATAGCGTAATAGAATCTAAGGTACTTTGTTAGAGTGTGACAAACATGGAATTTCTTATTTTTATGTTAAAAATGTGACAAACAAGCGTTTTGCTTTGTTTGAACTCTTGCGATATCAAAAAAAACGAATATCGTTATAAAATTACATTATAATAAGGTAAACTTCATCAGCCTTTTAATGTCCCCATTGCTGGGAAAGCCTTTTTTTATGGATGTAAGAGATTGGGCTATGGCCCAATTGGGGGTGCTAACTACTGCAGATGCAGCCAGGACCAACGGCTTAACGTGCCTTCCAAAGCACGGAGTAGCTCGAGATAGTAAGTTTTTGTCACCCATCCAATGACTGACCAGAGCGAAAGTGGTCTAATTTCCAAGATCGCCAGCTCACCGACCTTGTGTCCAGTAAAACAACGGTCGTTAACAAGCAGCCTAAAAGCCAAGTTATCATCATCATGACAAAGGAGATGAGCGAGAGGTGGTGAGTGAGCGAGACGGCAACAGTCGCGTGCACTGCGCTCTTTGATATCCGCACGAAACTGACTATTGGAAGATCTATGGACAGCGCGAACGTCAACGGCAATGGAAGCAATCTGTTTACATGCTCACTTTACTTATTTTATATGAGGAGCTGGCGAACAAAACGGTGTAATGGGGTATTTGAAAGTATTAAAAATAAAGTGCCAATTGTTAGCATCTGTATTTAGAATGAATATTGGCAGGAGTTTTTTACTATTTCTACAGAAAAAATATTCATAATTTTACTAAAAACCCACGATAAAGATAATAGTTTTCTTGTCTTCTGTCACGTGTCTCAAAACGCTGGAGATTGGTGGAGCCTAAAATGACGTCACACGCAAGTAAACTTTCGGTTAAAGTGACATTACATTGTATGGTTTGACGTTTTAACGACAGTCGTGTGACATCACACACCAGTGAGACGCCATATTGTCCAGAGATTCGTTTTGGATTTAGTTTTTTTACCGAAATACACAACATAATGATGAATAACCACTTTTTATTGACTCTATATACATTAGTAACAACGTGAGATCGTTTTCTAAAACTTGTCAAATACCCTATTACGCATATAGTTATGACCATATATTAGTTTTATTTTACAGCCCGGAGGTTTGGGCCAGCTAAATTTGAATTTCAACTCGTGTCAATCAAAATCGCCTACAATAGTGTTAAAATTACTAAATTTAAAATCACGCCAATAGCTCACTGTAGGTGTGTCATTCAGTTTATGACTGCTCCTGTAAAATTTAATTTGATGTAATTATACCGTTCTGTTCGCCAGCTCCTCGTATGCCATTTCCCTTACAGTTCCCACACGAAATAGCAGAATGTAAACGGGGGTATACGAAGAAACTAGGCCGTCTTGACAGGGCAACGATAAGATAAGGTAACCAGGCGAAAAGTGAGTGCCACGCCATTTTTATGTTTGGGCATCCAGTGGGTACCAATAGGTACTATTTACGATTTCTATATCAACCACACCGTCGAGTCATAAACTTAAATAATAGACTGAGCGACAATCGCATGAACTTCGTCACATATCTAGAAAGAGGAAAATCAGCAAATACTTAAGACAAACGAAGCCTGATGATTTATGAGAAACTAGCGGCCACTCGCGACTGCTCCCGCGCAAACTTTAGTTTGAGAATCCCACAGGAATCCTACATTTTTTGGGATAAAAGTATCCTGTCTCAATCCAGGTCATAAACCATTTTCGCACCAAATTTCAACCAATACCGTTTAATAGTTTTTGCGGATTGAATAACAACCATACAAACTTTCACATTAATAATATTAGTAGGATATCATTGCAGTTTCAGCTAAATTGTTGGTCTTTAACAATAATATTGTATATTACATAGTTAATTTTTTGGTTGAATATACACCGTCTATTTTCAGATATTTGAGCTTTAGTAAATAAAATAAAGTTACTCACTCTCTGTCTCCTCGCCCTCGACGATCGTATCCGTTGTCGCCTCTGCTACTGACGCTGTCGAAAACAAAAACACTATAGCAACTGCCTATAAGTAACAATCTGATAGGTCAACTTCTATTAATCAGAAAATACATATTCTACTTCCTCTGAAATAAAAGGTAAACAAACCTTAAAAAGTAGTTTTGACAGTTTAATGCACTTTATTTATTTATTGACGTTTCGCAGCCTTTTCAGGTCTATATCGTCAGAATAATGATTTTTTATTTACTTTGTCGAGCTACCTTCGAAAGACTTTTATTGAGTGTTCGGATATTTCATTGGAAGATTTTTAAAATTTTATTGTTTATGTATGAATTTATTAGTTAATTAAGTACTTTATTTAAAATTATTTTTTGGAGTTTTGAGTTTATTTATTGTGCATTAATCCGTTTTATTAGTAGTAGTTTTATTTAATGAGTGATGTGTGTGAAAACCTAAGAAACAAATATACCTTAAAAAGGTTTTTCTTTATGTTGAATTTTATACGGATATAAAAATCACATTTTTGTTCTAGATAAAAAAGTTTTAGAAACATAGGTTTATTTAACTTGTGTCAGAGGAAATTGAATAGAGTATAAATGAACAAGTCTCAACATTAAATTAGTATGTGCCAATGAATATTAAAGAATATGAATAATATCTCCAATATTAACAAGAAATGTTCAAACAGGCCTTTAGTGAAACAGCTCAACTTGATGCTGGCTCACTCTAAATCTGCTCAATATAATGTACCAACTATTTAAATACATTTTCATACCAAAATCTAGCACTCAGATTTAAGTACAGAATTAGTTGGGAGATGGAAAGCATAGGTCATTTACAGTCAATGTTTGGATTTAAAAAAACTGTTTAAATAAGGGTCAATATCATTCCAAGTGACCAACTTTGTAGTACCGTAAGTGAGGGTTACTTTAGCTCGGGCGGGTAACTTTGTCCCAAATCAGAAAAAATATTGAACTTGCCGCCCCATCAGTATCTCTTGGGTGACCGTAATAGTTCCAGTTGAAAATCACAGATAGCCATATAGGCGCGTAGTGTGGTGTTGTTTTACCGACATCGTTCCTGTATCAAGTTGTCATTGTAACGCGGGATTTTTTGTAACTGAAATAGTTCGCAAGTTCATGCGCAAACTTTCTCAAAACTGTGGTTTTCGGTAAGTTTACAATTTTTTCTTTAACTTAATTATTTTTGCGTAATAACATCCATTTGTGTATACAGTATGCTAATAGTAATCTGTTATAAGGGTTACTTAACCCGAACGTGGTTTAAAATGAGTTTTTTTCACAGAGAAAACTCAACGAGCTAAAGTAACCCTCTTTAAGGCCAACTTTGGCCCAAAATTAAAAAATATATATTAACCCTTAAATATTATTTTTTCCTATTTTCGTATGATAACTTTGTAACTTATACTTTAAAGTTCACAATGGAAAGATATAAACGTGACATATTCATCACAAAGAGAAGCTACAATTTTATTTAAAAAAAAGTGCACATTTTAGGTCAAAGTAAACCGCAGTTACTCGGTATTGCATTTAAATTGCAAATAAATGTTGATTTGTGATTCACCTTTAACACACACAGGGTATATTCTACTATAGCGAAGTGGCTTATTCAAACTAGCTCAGAAAAAATCAAAATCTCATACACATCCTCTAAAGTAATTTAAAATGGTACCCAAGTACCTTAGTTTTCTGCTAATGTTTATTACGTAAATTGAAAACAAGAAATTATTACAGTTTGCATTATTTTTAATGATACAAAGAAATAAAATCAAAAAGCCAGAGCTACTTCATTTAATGAAATTTACTATTATTACGTAAGTTATCTCTTCTCAAATCTTTTTTGAAGTTAATTTTTCACATGTATGGATGCTGGCACTTCACATGGTTTTTCACATTTGCCACACAATAAATCATTGAAGCACTAACAGTCTAAACCTCGCGAAAGCACATTAAGCAATCTACCAGTGTTAAAAAGAAAAAAAACAAGCAAACGAAGAGTACAACAGCTCTAAATTACCCTTCCAAGAAAAACGAGCTCTAATGTATGTATAGTTCAAAACTGATGACACCATAAACAATGACACAAACACCACAAGTATGGTTATTGTATTTTTGATTAGTGAAATCTATGAAGTCTAAGTTATTGCAATCCTGCTTACTGAAAACTCAGGTTCATGAAAAAGTCACTTAGAAAGAGTTAACATTTAGCAAAATCGAGTTATTGTACTTTTCGTTGGCGCGACAGAATAATAGAATGGTCTCATACGTGGGCTTGCCCATGTAGATGCCGGGCGTGGGCGTGTGCGCGCGCTGCGTGATGGAGAAGTCGACGCGGATGCGGCGCCCGTCTATCTCCATGCCCGTGCACTCGTTCTTGGCAACCTTCGCGTCCTCTTGGTTCTCGTAGTAGACGAAGCAGAAGCCGCGGGAGCGACCCGTCTGGTTGTTTCAAAAGTTTTTGTGAGGCATGAATTTGGAAGCTTTTTTGGCTTAGATGAAGGGCGGATTTGGGGGAGTCGTCTTTCAACCAGGGGAGGGGATTGCGTCGCGTATTTCCTTAGCATAAAAAAGATTAGACGAAGAAAATGTCGCAGTTTCCAGTTTCTCTCTAAAGGTTTGGTTTATTGGAGGGTAACCGAGCTCCATGCCCGTGCACTCGTTCTTGGCAACCTTCGCGTCCTCTTGGTTCTCGTAGTAGACGAAGCAGAAGCCGCGAGAGCGACCCGTCTGGTTTTGTGAAAGATTCTTGTGAGGTATGAATTTGGAAGCTTATTTTGGTAAGATGAAGGAAGGATTTGGGGGGAGGAGTTGTCTCTCATCCAGAGGGGGGGCATGCGTCACGTATTTTCTTAGCATATGGTTAGATGAAGAACATATCGCATTTTCGGATTTTTCTCGAAAGGTTTGGATTATTGGAGGTTAACCGATCTCCATGCCCGGGCACTTGATCTTAGCAACTTTCGCGTCCTCCTGGTTCTCGCAGTACACGAAACAGAAGCCGCGGGAGCGATCCGTCTGGTTGTTTCAAAGGTTTTTGTGAGGTATGAATTTGGAAGCTTTTTTGGCTTAGATGAAGGGCGGATTTGGGGGAGTCGTCTTTCAACCAGGGGAGGGGATTGCGTCGCGTATTTCCTTAGCATAAAAAAAGGTTAGACGAAGAAAATGTCGCAGTTTCCAGTTTCTCTCTAAAGGTTTGGTTTATAGGAGGATAACCGATCTCCATGCCCATGCACTAGTTCTGGGCAACCTTCACGTCTCCTGGTTCTCGTAGTAGACAAAGCAGAAACCGCGGGAGCGACCCGTCTGGTTTTGTAAAAGGTTTTTGTAAGGTATGAATTTGGAAGCTTCTTTTTGTTTAGATGAAGGACGGATTTGGGGGAGTCAACTCTTACCCAGGGGAGGGAAATTCGTCACATATTTTCTTAACATAAAAAAAATTGTTAAATGAAGAAAATCTCGCAAAGTTTCCGGGTTCTCTCTAAAGGTTTGATATATTGGAGGATAACCGATCTCCATGCCCGTGCACTCGGTTCTTGGCAACCATCGCGTCCTCCTAGTTTTCCTAGTAGACGAAGCAGAAGCCGCGGGAGGGACCCGTCTGGATTCAAAGGTTTTTGTGAGGTTTCGTGAGCAAAGCCACAGGCAAATACTTTTGCACAGAAGACGTTTTTGTATATAAAATTGCTACTGCGCAGACTTTCTTGTTTATATGGTCATTTGCCGGGGTGTTTGGAAGCTAGGTGTTCGGTTAGATTCCGTCCAATAAGGTCCTTATTGGACGGAATAGGGAGACATATCCATGATCCATCACGCGGGCTCAGTGCCGATTGGTGGGTGCTAACGACTGCAGCTGCATCCGAAAACAACGGCTTAACGTGTATTCCGAAGCACGAAGAAGCTCGAAATCTTCAACTATTGCAGCCCAATGCAGTAACCACTTGCGCCATCGAGGTGTGTTAGGTTAGATGAAGGGAATATGGCAGTTTCCGGTATCTATTGAAAGTAGTGGTTCTAGTAAGTGAACCTGGCATGTAAGTTTTAGGTTACTTTTCGAAGTATCAGTTTTTATTGGAGGCAAACTAAGTAGGGTTTACTAAGGTAAGATATGGTAAGCTTAAGATCTTGAAACTTTAAACCAGGACAGATAGAAGTCACAATGTAAAAATCACATTTATGTTTAAAACCAGGATAATCAGACAAATGGAGACTTTTCCAGGGTGATAAAAGGAATCAATGAAACTAACTTGGTCGCAACTTACCTTGGCATCAATAACAACTTGTACTTTGTCAACTGGCCCATATTTAGAGAAGATGTGGTTTATCTGCTGTTCAGTTGTGTAAAGACTCAAACCAAATACACCAAGACACCTTGATGGAGTTGGATTCTCCTGTTAACAAGTCAACTATTATTAGAAATGTTAAATATTAAAATTTGATTCAAATATAAAATAAGCAACATTTATTAAATTACTGAAATTTTAGTTTTTCATAAAGTTAATTAATCAAACATACAAGTTAACTTTTTACTTCAACAATTTCAAAACAAAGCAATAATAAATAAAAGAAAATAAAATTCAAAAAATCTACTCTAGTACACTCCTAAGCAATACCACGTATACACTTTAGTACCTTAGCAAAATGACTTGGATATTAACCTGTTTGCAAATCTGTAGTTTTATGTTGCCAAATTCTTTAGAAAATGAAAGATAAGTAGATAACAATATCCTTAAATTCCATGGATATAGGGTAGTAACTTTTTATGTCATGTAAATAAGAACCCGAAACTCTATAGCCATTAAAATTGCGTGGTATAAAAATGTATACACAGGACAGCTCACGAGTGTACCAGCGCAGTGCAACATACTTACATAGGTGGAACTCACCCTGTCACCAAGATGCCTCCGTCGCGAGGACATGGGACTGTGCGAGTGTGAGCGGCGGTAGGAGCCGCGCGGCGAGTATGAGCGCGAGCGGGAGCGGGAGTACCGCGAGCGGTAACCGCGCCGCGCGGACCCCGACCGCGACCGCGTCCTGGGGACCACCGGCCTACCGTCAGCGGTGATATTAACATGCTCCATTTACGTACGTTTTAGGTATTATTAAAGAAAAGTACGAGCGCTAGCGAGAAAACCGCGAGCGGTAGCCGCGGCACGCAATAACAGACTGCCATTGCATCCTGGGTGCCACCGGCCTATCGTCAGTGGTGACATAAACATGCTCCATTTACATTTTGAATCTAATTTTACCTACTTATTTGTTGTCACACTAATGCAAAATCGTAAGCTGCTTTATCATACTTTTTTCTGATCTTTGCTAGAAGTGTCACATGCTTGATCAATATTTTGTTGTTTGATTCATATCTAGTACTCTTATTGTATGTAGCAAAAGTTTTATCAATTTAATTTGTATGTTTGTATGTAGTACTAAGGCAACAATGTTACTATGGTCTTTATTACTCTAAAAACATCACCCATGTTGAATTCTAATAGTTGTTCTTTATTGATAGTATAGATCATAATATCTTCACTGATCTCTCCTGCTACATTATAATTTTTAAGGGCACATCTGCATTTATTAAAATTATTAGATTTGGTAATAATATAGGTGATTGACTGATTGGTCACCTGTTGCTTAGATACCAAATGCAATATGCTGAATATTTAATCTATAATAATAAAACAAAGTGTGTGTTTTAAATGAGTAGTACAATTTGTATTGTACATTAATCTATACTAATATTATAAAGCTGAACAGATTGTTTGAATGTGGTAATCTCTGGAACCAAAGATCAAATTTGAACTAACATCAGGCTATGTTACTTCACACAGACAGATAATCAAAAACAGAGGCTATCTCTTATTTATTCACTGTTGAAATTAACAACAAACTTTGTTATCTTAATTTCGTTTTAAATATTTATCCCAATGATACTTTTGAAACTCAAATCTGTTTGAGTAAAAAGAATAAAAACACGCCCAAACAAAAAAATTAACTCTGCTGATGTTAAATGATGCAATCTACATCTTGCAGCAACTGCAATGATGCAATCTGCATAATTAGATTCAGGAATTGAACTTCGTGTATCTTTAAATTTCAGCTATAATGCTATTTTTAACTAATTATATGAGTTCAATACTAATCGTACTTCTTAATTAAAGACACAATCTGACTTATTCCAAAACACAGAGGAAGTTAATCTTTATTTAAACTTAATGTTGTCAGTCTTCTTTTTAGCAACAAAAGTGTAAGCATTAGTTTTAGTCCAGGGTTAACTTCAGTCTTTGTAATAATGCAGAATTTGTTTTATTATCATGTATAAATAAAATATTCACCATATTGCATCTGGTAACTAAGCAACAGGTGGCCAGTCAGTCAATCACCTTCATTGTTACCTTATCTAATAATTTAAATAAATGCAAATATGTCCTTAATAATTATGAAGTAGCAGGAGAGATCTGTGAAAGCAATACATACTAACAACAAAATCAACTACTAGAAACAACCATGGGTGATGTTTAGACTAATAAACACCATAGTAACATTGTTGCCTTGATACTCTACTCAAATAACATAAAATTGAAATCAGTCAAATGAAATCGATAAAACTTTTGCTACCCACAATAAAAGAACTAGTTATCAACCTAACATAAATATTGATCAAGCATGTGGCACTTTTAGCAAAGATAAAAAACAAGTATGATTACGATACACGTTAGAATGACAACAAGTATGTACAACTATGTACTTGAAATTGCGCAATCGACATACACATAAAGACAAGGTTATTAAAAAAATGTCATAGAAACTGCCGTAATATTAATCGAGGCCGCTTAAAATAACATTATTTCGGCAAACAAAGAAATATGTATGACCCAAGGTCGTAAATGACTTACGGGCTTCTATATTTCCTGCTAGATGTTTTTGGCGGGGGCGGCGTTCGCGACCGGCTTCGGCTGTGTCCACGAGACATGGCTGTGGGCTTCGGTGCCGGCTCCCTAGATCCGTTACGAGTTCTCGAGCGGCTCCTCTGTAAACCCAGTTGTGCCGATTAGGAGTAATAATAGCAAAAGTTCAAGCAACAAATAAAACACGCGGCTTGGCAATGGTAGACTATCGGACTTAGTGAAGTAAATATAGTACCTCTCGATCGGACATGATGCGCACTCCAATTAACTACAGCAAAACAATAAAATAAACTTGAATTCCGTCTGCCAATATCCGAAATAGACAATTGAAATAAAAATTACACGAGCACCACGATGAGTTCTGCAGAATCGAAAAAACAAGATGGCGGATAGCGAAACGAAAAACGAGGCGCGCGCGGGCGAGCGCGGTACCATAGAGTCTTTCTTTACACTCTATGGCCAATGTTTATGGTTTATGGAGTGCCTTGCAGTCATGGACGCACCACAGAAATAGGTAGAATTATAATTTAGTAAAAAAATCAGTCTCATGTCTAAAGCTAATTTTACGTTGTCAAAAGCAAATAAGGTCAATCTGGGCACAGTGAATTCATCATAACAGAGACCGTTTCTTTATACACATGAAGAAACGTTATAAATAAAAGGGCATTACTTTTCATTTTATTATTTTCTTCGTGATTATTTAATAAAAACTGAGATATTATATGATACGGGTCAAACTTTTAACGAAGAGTACACACTCTTCGTCAAAAGTTTGACCCATATTTGACCATTTGAGATGGTATCATTTTATGCAAATATTGGTGTTGATTCTGGCATGATTCTCTTAACCTACACTTAAAGACTACAGTAAAACCTTGTCTTTCTCTATACCACTAGCAAAAAAAGTTAAATTTTTCTAATATAGGTAGGTAAGTATAGAAAAAACGAGCGAGCCTTACAGTAGTCGCGTATGATGTGTAACATTTGAAACCTCACCTTATATTAATAAAAAAAGAAATAAAACCTACTACAAAGGAATAAGCCATTTGAACATTATGTTCTAAAATCAAACCAAATAGCGCGCGCTTTCGCTACTTCCTGTTACACACTTCCGTCCCATTTCACGAAATCACTCCCACAAATTGCAGAAAAGCGAGAGGAAGGATGTTACACATCAATAATGTGGCCTTGATAGAATTTTGTTTTTAGTAATAGGAACGATGGAGGTGAGTAGGGTAGGTACACTGAGCAAGTAAACTTTATGTAGCTTTGAGTATTTATTACTATAGATATAGGTTACGGCCACAGTACACGCTGTTTCAGAACAAAGAGTACTTATATATATACTGAATATTTCAGAATCAGGTTCAAACTCAGAAAACAGGCTCATCGGATGTCAGCTTGAGAAAAGCAGGTGATGGCCGCAGTTGACGCAAATAATACAAGGCACGGACGCGAGACGCGCAGTTCGCAGTTGTAAACATGGAAGAGTTGTCTATGAAGATCTAGCGTGCTTATTTATGGCTACTGATACTTGTCATAATAAATTAAAACGTGAGAGAATCGGTGTTCACGAAATTAATATATTAAAGAGTGAATAGTGACTATAGAAACTCAAAATAAGGTGTACAAGTATTAAGCAGCTTAAGCCAGATTTACATTGATACAGTAGCTTTAACGATTATAATAGGCTAGTTTACTCATGTCGAATTGTATTAAATAAATGTTTATTTCTTAAAGTGTTTAGTCTAAGGAACCTTAATATATCGATTTCACTTCATAAAAGCAGAAGATTGCTGTAGAAATTTAATTTTAAAAAATATTTTTTAGTCTATATTTTTTAAACACTAAAAACGCTGTTCGCCACATTCGCCATGATTTTGACGTCTCTTGTGGTAAACAACTAAATGTCATTCGCGTGTTACTGTAGGTGGATTCTTTCGTCTGACTAAATTTATCTTAAAACACTTAACTTTAGGAAAGAAAAAAACAGTAAACTTAAGTTTTTTTTGACTAAACAAATTATGGATGCCGGCTTTGTGAAAGCAGAAAGCACAAATCTGCCAAGAATTGACGCATTGATGGTTGGTGAATTTGTTGCACTAAACCCCGATTTCTGCTCTGCGGAGCAGAGAAACGACAAGGCATCTATGTAAGTACAGTGCATTTAGTATTACAATGTAGTAATAAACATAAAACTGATACAACATATGAATAAGTGTAATAAAGTTGCGTAGGTTAATTTCTTTCGGCACTTTAATCCACAACTTTCCTGGAGTCTTCAAGGATGTGTTTTTATGTTCTCGTACAATACAGTAATGATAATTACTTTATTTTTCGTGGTATTTATTAGAAATCATGTCTTTTTTTATTATAAGCGCAGTTAAAAGTAATTTTCTACGTGTTTACGAGTTTTTGTTTACCACAGTTCACGTCATAGCATAGACAATCTATAGACTAAAATGGCCGACAGCGTTTTTGTATGTCCATGAAAAGTCTATTTTAAAATTAAAGATTTGTAGCTTTCTAGGTTTAAAAAAAATACAATACATTTTTTTTCGGTCTAATAGAACATTTAATAACCATTTAAAACCTTTTTCCAAAAAGGGTCAACTAGCCTATTGGTGTCACAGATTATTATGATAATGTCTAAAGAGTTGTTGTTGTTGGTTGTTGAACGATGCATCAAACGTCAACGTCAAGCACGACATTTCAGACTCAGTGGTGTGGAGCTGTGAAGTATAAATGTGGCTATTTGGATTTTTTAAATATTCAGTTTCTATTAAATCATGACTGACAACGAAGTCGCTAACGGGCTCTCTGAAGAGCAGCCGCAAGAGAAAACAGCTAAGCAGCTAGAGAAAGAGGCAAAAAAAGCTGCAAAATTGGAAAAGCTCAAAGCAAAGTTGGATAAGAAAACCGCAGTGCCAGCTGTTCAGAAAGATAAGCCAGAGGTAACTTGATAAATTATATTCAAACAAATCAAGAATAGATTATTATTGCATAGATCATTATTAGTAGAACGTATAATAATGAAACAAAAGTTTAAACAATTTAACAAAGCTTTAGGTTATTGGAGGCTATGAGTCAGTGAAAGTATCCCTTCAATTATACTCAATTGTTGCGTCAGTGAGCTCCTACCATCATGCCATTTATGCTTTGATGTTCTTACAATACAATATATTGTCAGTCCATTAAAGGAGAACAACCACTATTTATGGGGGGTTGGTACAGATACAAAGTTCTTTTAACTGAAGCAAAATAAATAGATACCATTGCAAAGCTTATTATTAATGTATACTGCCAGTCTTTAATTGAATTCGAAAGCTAAATGAGTTGATGAGATATTCGAAATATCCCATCAATCTTTGAATTGAATTTAATAAAAAGTATTTGAAGTATAAAAATGGTTTGCCTGGTGTAATCTACATAATAAAACATTTTTTTACCTGATTTACAACAACTAAATGTCTACAAAGATTTAACAGTCAAAAACATTCAATAACAAGCACGTTACCATGTTGACACATATACCCACAATGAACTTAGAGATGATTGACCAGATGGAGAGTGAAACTTTTTTTTTTTTTAATAATTTATTAGAAATTATTACAATAAAAATCTGAGGCCCAATAAATGAAATCTTATATACTCTAATCACTGTATTTATTAATTTCTTCCTTATTTATGTGTTCTGAAATGAGTATAAAAATCTGGCTGATGCAATCACATTATGGTGCTGCACCCATCACAATAACCATTTTATGGTCATCCATATTGTGTAGGCATTTAACAATGTGTGTTTGTGTGAAGAACTGATATCAAGCTATACACACAAAAAACTCTTGCCTCTCTCAATATCTTCAAGTTAAAAAGATAAAGATTAACAAAAACCCATGGCCCATTCACAGATTTATATTTAATTAATAATTAAGAATACAGTCACTATAGTATCAATTTTCAATTTATTAATATGAACGTAAGTAGGTAGTTACGCAATTGTCAGAAACGAACTCCATAGAACAAACCAAAATCAGTATTGTTTTTTATTGAAAATGTCTTTAACTAAATTGTAGAAAAATGACACAAAATTAAAGAAAGCATTGATAAACAAAAAAACAGAAATATTTCTTAATTGTAATGACAATTGCAATTGTCCTTGTTATAAATGAGAGACCACTGACCAACACTGTTATTATAAGTTGCCAAGTAACATTAGTTACTTGACCATTTAACAAATTTAGTAGGTTATATTTTATTAATAATATAATATTAAATTAATGCTAAATAATTAAGTAAATATTTTCTTACAATACACCTAATTTTTTTCTATAAAGTTGTATGTTATTCATGACTAAGTGTGTTGAATTTGGATTTAAACAGAAAAAAGTTAAAGAAACAAAAGAGAGTGCTGTGTACACTGGTAACACAGTACCAGGAGACAAGAAAGACATCGAAGGGCCTATGCCCGATGCTTACAGCCCCAGATATGTAGAAGCTGCCTGGTATGCATGGTGGGAGAAGCAAGGTTTTTTCAAACCTGAATATGGGGTGAGCCAAACAATATTATTTCCTTTCAAATAATCTTAAGTATCATTCTATTGCATGTTAAATGCTAAGTAGTTCTGTAACTATTAGCATAATTGCATCATGTATGTGGAAATAGATACATATACATGTATATTCAAACATCCATGATAAAAATATTCTAAATAAATGGTTATCTAGTTATCAGATTAACCATCTACATTTGCATCATAAAATGTTGTATGATGCAATTATTCCCAAATTAATGTAAAATGAGATAACAACTAGTACAATCTGATAACTAAATACACTGAGAAACTGAAAGCTATTGTGTTTAAAATATTACCATAAATAAAATATTATTACAACTAATTCTAGTAACATTACTCAAAAACTTTACATTTATAATAATAATTATAACATTAAAAGATCTGATATTTAGTTCAAAAGATTAATTTTAATTAATTTCAGGTGTATTTTAAAATAAACCTAAGCAGGAACCTTTGAAGGAAAAATCATTGTAAATTTACTCTAATTTATATTATAAAACAAGCAATATTATCCAAAAAACAATATAATGTGCAATTTTTCTTTTCTTGTTTATAGAGGAAATCCATACTAGATCCAAATCCCAAAGGAAAATTCATCATGGTTATCCCACCTCCAAATGTCACTGGTAATTTGCATTTAGGACATGCACTCACTAATGCTGTGGAAGATGCATTGGCACGATGGCACAGGTTTGATTTGTTTTTTTCTACACAATAATTGCTATAGTATTTTCCTAAAAAAATACTTTTTGCGTTTCTTTAGATTAATATCCATACTTATATTATAAATGCGAAAGTGTCCGTCTGTCTGTTACCTCTTCATGTTTAAACTGCTGAACCGATTTAGATGAAATTTGGCATAGAGACAGTTGGGTCCTGCAGAAGGACATAGAATAGTGTTTATCCTATTAGTCATTCTTTGAGGGGGTGAAAAAGGGTGTACAAGTTTATAGGAAAACTATTTTTTTTCATGCAGATAAAGTGCGGGCACCCACTACTGGTATATGTGTTTGTAATTCTTACGCAATAAAAATCAGTGACATTTGTACACTCACTTTTATAAATAAATTTAATGATATGATAATTATATTCTTCTAAATTATAATTATGGGTCACAATTGTTTCATCAATCTGAATGTACAATCTTAAAAAAAAACTTTTTTTATTAGATTATACCGGCACAGCAAACACAAAACGAACTGTTGCAATGAAAATAGCTACGTTTGGTATTTGTTTGATAGCAGAGGCGACGAATTTTTTGATCATGTGATCAGTCTGAGTAAATTACTATTTACAAACGGCTCGACCAACCATAGATTAATTTGTAAACTCAAACAGAAACTAAACTCACAACATGACAGACAACCAGATTAATTCCTCTCGATTGTCAAAATATTTTGAGAAAATACATTTATTTTGGACTGATTTGAATGGTTCGGACTACTCTTAGATGTAATAAATGAACGATTTAGACTAAAATGATTGATTAGATGCAAAAGCCACAGGCCACCTCTGTCTGTGAGACCCTAAAACAATATTGAAATTGAACTATTGCTTTTTGCTGTAGAATGAACGGGTGCATGACGCTCTGGAACCCTGGGTGCGATCACGCCGGAATCGCCACTCAGGTGGTGGTTGAGAAGAAGTTGTGGCGCGAGGAGAAGAAGACGCGTCATGAACTGGGCCGAGAGGAGTTCATCAAGCGAATATGGGACTGGAAAAATGAGTAAATATTTAATTTGCGATCATATTTCTTACAAAGAATACTTTGACAACCTCCATGGTGTGAGTGGTATGTAGTGTACAATGGTTTTCACGGTGTCGTCTGCTCACAGTTCCTGGGTTTGAGCGATTAAAACAATGCGAACAATACTGAGTTGCTCCAGTTGAGGCTATGCCAATCTATTTCCTAGACGGTATATGCAGTCAATCTTTATATCTGATGCATTAAAGTTCGATTTGTCGTGCAGAAAAGGCGACAGGATCGACTCGCAGCTGCGTTTTGATGGGTTCGTCGTACGTGGTCCCAGTCCGATTCACTAGAGACCCACCCATGTGCTGCGATTATGGTCATTATTTGTTGGGCATTAAGGGTCAATTTGTCGTGCAGGAAGGGTGAAAGGATCTACTCGCAACTGCGGTTGATGGGCTCGTCGTAGGACTGGTCACGCGCTCAGTTCACTATAGTCATACTATAAGGGTCTTTACTATATACTCCTCCATATGTCAACCTTGTTTCTTGGGTATTAAGGTTTCTATTTGTCGTGCAGGAAAGGCGACGGGATATACTCGCAGCTGCGGTCGATGGGTTCATTGTAAGATTGGTCGCGCTCTCGGTCACTATAGACCCGTCCATGTGCTGCGATTATGGTCATTATTTGTTGTAAATTAAAGTTCAATTTGTCGTGCAGGAAGGATGATAGGATCTACTCGCAGCTGCTGTCGATGGGCTCGTCGTACGACTGGTCACGCGCTCAGTTCACTATAGTCATTCTATAAGGGTCTTTACTGTATACTCCTCCATATGTCAACCTTGTTTCTTGGGTATTGAGGTTTCTATTTGTCGTGCAGGAAAGGCGACCGGATATATTTGCAGCTGCGGTCGATGGGTTCATTGTAAGATTGGTCGTGCTCTCGGTCACTATAGACCCGTCCATGTGCTGCGATTATGGTCATTATTTGTTGTAAATTAAGGTTCAATTTGTCGTGCAGGAAGGATGATAGGATCTACTCGCAGCTGCTGTCGATGGGCTCGTCGTACGACTGGTCACGCGCTCAGTTCACTATAGTCATACTATAAGGGTCTTTACTGTATACTCCTCCATATGTCAACCTTGTTTCTTGGGTATTGAGGTTTCTATTTGTCGTGCAGGAAAGGCGACCGAATATACTCGCAGCTGTGGTCGATGAGCTCGTCGTACGACTGGTCTTACGTACGATTTACTATGGACCTATCCATGTATTGCGATTGTGGTCATTATTTGTTCGATTTGTTGTGCAAGAAGGGCAATGGATTTCGCAGCTGCGGTCATGGGCTCGTCGTACGACTGTCGCGCGCTCAGTTCACTATAGTAATACAGTAAGGGTGTAATACTAAAAAACCTTTCCATATGCCACCTTGTTTCTTAGGTATAAAGGTTCATTTTGTAGTGCAGGAAAGGTGACAGGATCTAATCGCAGCTGTGGTCGATGGGCACGTCGTACGACTGATCTTGCGCTCGATTTACTATGGACCTGTCAATGTGCTGCGATTGTGATCATTATTTGTTTGTAATTATGGTTAAATTTGTTGTGCAAGAATGGCAATTGGATCTCGCATGATGATCATGGGCTCATCTTACGACTGTCGCGCGCCCTAAAGACTAAAGCCCCTTCCATATGCCACCTTGTTTCTTAGGTATAAAGGTTCATTTTGTAGTGCAGGAAAGGTGACAGGATCTAATCACAGCTGCGGTCGATGGCCGCGTCGTACGACTTGTCTTGCGCTCGGTTTAGTATGGACCTGTCCATGTGCTGCGATTGTGATCATTATTTGTTTGTAATTATGGTTAAATTTGTTGTGCAAGAATGGCAGTTGGATCTCGCAGCTGCGGTCATGGGCTTGTCTTACGACTGTCGCGCGCTCAGTTCACTATAGTAATTCAGTAAGGGTGTATACTATATACCCTTCCATATACCACCTTGTTTCTTGGGCATTAAGGTTCAATTTGTCGTGCAGGAAAGGCGACCGGATATACTCGCAGCTGTGGTCGATGAGCTCGTCGTACGACTAGTCTTACGCTCGATTTACTATGGACCTGTCCATGTACTACGATTGTGATCTTTATTCGTTTGTAATTATGGTTAAATTTGTTGTGCAAGAAGTCTTTGGGCTCGTATACGACTGTTCCGCGCTCAGTTCACTATAGTAAGGGTGTATACTATAGACCCTTCTATATGCCATCTTGTTTCTTGGGTATTAAGGTTCAATTTGTCGTGCAGGAAAGGCGTCCGGATCTACTCGCAGCTGCGGTCGTTGGGCTCATCGTACGACTGGTCCCGGGCCCGCTTCACCATGGACCCGTCCATGTGCCGCGCCGTCAACGAGGCCTTTATAAGGCTACACGACGCTGGCGACATCTACCGGGCTAACAGGTTTTTACTGGTTTTATTGGAATCTATACTAATTATATATTTTTTTAAGCATGTAACTGCTCGATGTTTAATTCCAAAGACAACATTACTAGAAAAAAATCCATGGGGACCATGGTGTTGGTCCGCGTGGAATTTTTCCTAGTAATATCTATACAAATTTTAAACACTTACCATTAGAATGCTACATTTTCCCTGGTTAACATTACTGGAAGTAGAACATAATAATATTGTTGATTACTCTAATTTATGAATTTGTAGTCAAGTACACAGTGTACATTATCTTTGCAAGCCAGTTAGCATTCTTATTTCTTGAAAAATCTAATACTTTAACTATTATTGTTAATACAACAAGACTTCTATAATCTGAAAACCTCATTAATACGAACACATGCCTCACTTTTTACATTCACCGAGACCGAGACCTATATTTTTAGAGTGGCTTTTCATTTAGCGTTAATTACCTTCTGATAAACTAAAATAGTGGATAACTTTAAAAAATTAATGCTTTTAATGTTTATAGATGAATATAGGTACATTTGAAATTTCACAATAGTATTCTTTTTATTTCATAAAGAATACCCTATAAATTATCTGTAGGTACTGTAACCCGAACGCTCCTCTAATCCAAATGGCGGTAAATTTTCGAAGTTCGGATTAAAGAAAATTCTAGTCGTTTCATGAAAAATAATCGAATCGTTAGAAAAATATATATATATAATAATTATTAAAGTATCAAAAATTTTCAGGCTCGTAAATTGGTCTTGCACATTGAAGAGTGCAATTTCCGACATTGAAGTGGACAAACTAGAGTTACCTGGTCGCACGCTTTTGTCTATACCTGGATATGAACAAAAGGTACTTTGTGACTTTATTTAATTAGCTTCAACTCCAGCTTCTCATTACTTTTGTGACTTAAGGGTTTTTTTTTATAGGCAAATGACTCTACCCCTCCTGATGTTAAGTGGTGATAAAGTCCAAACGCGAAGATAGCTGGTACAGCAGTTATAAACTGTTACACCAACCATCCTCACCTTGCCGGACTGCAACAATGCTTCTTCACGCCTCTCTTAAAGGACCCCAGATTGTAGGAAGGAGGGAACATGTGCGCGGGCAAAGAATTTTTCTCTATCTAAAGATCGACAACGGAACGCTATTAAAAAAGTTAAACTTCTTATACCTGTTCACTATGTAATATCTTATATAGATAAATAAACTGCTCATTTAGTTCAAAGTTCGGTGTTGATCTAAACATAGGCAACGACAAACTTGTTGAGCAAAACCTCAGACAAATAAACTTGCGCAGTACATGTTTTTATATGTAAAATTGCTACTGCGCAGGGTTGCTTGTCTGTGGTCGATTTTCAAGAAGTTTAACGGGGCCGATACTTACAGAAAAGAAAGGTAGGTCAGAATATCCACTTGTATTAAAGCGCCTGGAAGTTTAGTCCAACAACTACAATCTAAATCGTTTTAAGGCAAATTGGCATTTATTTTATTTATTTATTAGCCTAATTCAGATTACAATTGTTTCAAAATTAATTGTATTGAGCTTCATCCAACCACTTCCATTGATCTCTTTCCCGAGCAATTCTGGTCCATGTTTTGTCAGCTGCGGCATCAAGTTCATCCTCCCATCTTTTGCGTTACCTTCCCTGGGGTACCCTTAGCACGAACCGATTAGTTTGCGAATGCGAAATGTCACTGTCAAATTTTGTATGAAAAATTGAACAGCAGCGCCATAACGGACGTATCGAGAACTAAAAAGCAGTACACATTTGACAATGACATTTCGCACTCGCAAACTATTCGAATTCGATATTGGTTCGTGCTAAGGGCACAGGTCGTAGCAATTTTGCTCCATTTGTCCTATCCTTATTGTATGACCTGCCTATTTCCAATTTAGCAGTTTTTACAAATTATTGATATGTGATTATTACTATTTTTTAAGTGTCATAAAAAAATGCTATTTAATTTGACAATTTACTAAATGTTTGCTTTTATCACAATTTTAATCTTTTCTAAGTACAATTACTGATATGTGACAATTTTGGATTTTGTAGATTACTTACAGTACCTACCTAATTTGTTTCACACCCATATAGGGTAAAATATGAATGGACATTATCTCTTATCTATTAGACAAGTCCGTCTGTCTGTGGTGCTGTTTCAGCGGCCAAACCGTAAGAGATAGATAAAGAGAATATTTAAGTTATAAGTTAAGAATAGTCTGATAAGACTACAAACCGGATTTGAGTAACGTAGCACTTCCGGTTTTCGAGAAATCAGGTTTTGGTGAACATTTGGTTCACTGGTTTGCTAGTAATTATGTAACACCAAATTATGTACTCATATTTGAACAAATAAATTGATTGATTTTTACGGCTTTATCATTAGGTCGAATTTGGCGTACTGGTGCACTTCGCGTACAAAGTAGAAGGTTCGGACGAAGAGGTGGTGGTGGCCACTACTCGCGTGGAAACCATGTTAGGGGATGTAGCTGTCGCCGTGCATCCCAACGATGACAGGTAAACACCCTGACATACTTCTTGAGCAATGACCATAGACAAGGAACAATCATCATCATCATCAGCCTATTAATGTACCCACTGCTGGGGCACAGGCCTTCCCTATGGATGGAATAGGGAGTTTTGGGCCATGACCAACCACGTGGGCCCAGTGCGGATTCGTGGGTGCCAACGACTGCAGATGCAGTCGGGATCGACGGCTTAACGTGCCTTCCCAAGCACGGAGGAACTCGAGATAGAAGATTTTTGGTCACCCATCCAAGGACCGACCACTGCGAAAGTTGCTTAACTTCAACGATCGCAGCCGAACGCGCTAACCATTTGCGCCATCGAGCTCCACCGCCGTTAGCATGACAAGGAAGCCTGCGCAGTAGTAATTTTACATACAGAAACGTCTACTACGCATGTTTATTTGCCTGTGGTTTTGCTCAAGAAGTTTGCCGCTAAATATATAGTGTGATTCAATCTTAATGGCGGCTGTGAAGTTAGCGCTATGGACCGAAAACGCTTGGGATTGGTGAAGACTAAAATGATGTCACACGCTAGTAAACTTCCGGTCAAAGTGACATTACATTGTATCGTTTGACGTTTTGATGACAGTCGTGTGACGTCACGTACTAGTGAGACGCCATAGCGTCCAGCGAAACGTTTTCGCGGCAACTTGAAAATTGACTTTTGGATTTCCTTTTTTTTACTGAAATACACAACAGAATGTTGAATGTCCATGTCTTTTTCTGGACTCCATTAATATCAGTAAATAATGTGAGATTATTTTCTAAAACTTGTCAAATACCCTATTCGGCAGCGCGCCATCTTGGTCCCTCTGTAGGGAATGAACTTAAACATGCGCTGCTAACTTCACAACCGACCTAAAGTTTTAATACAACTAATAACAGAAACACTTACGCACTCATCATCATCATCAGCCTATTAATGTCCCCACTGCTGGGGCACAGGCCTTCCCTATAGATGGAATAGAAAGATTGGGCCATGACCTACCACGCGGGCCCAGTGCGGATTGGTTGGTGCTAACGACTGCAGATGCAGCTGGGACCAACGGCTTAACGTGCCTTCCGAAACACGGAGTAACTCGAGATAGTAATTTTTGGTCTCCCATCCAATGACCGACCACTGCGAAAGTTGCTTAATTTCAACGATCGCAGCCGAAGGCGCTAACCACTTGCGCCATCGAGCTCCTCGCACTCAAAGACGTCTATTAACTTTTAAAATTCATTTAGCATAGGTGTTCGCTAGAGGAAGGCTATACGTCAGTTTAATAGTTACTCCAACATCACGATACTTTTTATAATTTGACGTTTGAATGGTATTCAAGAATTTCACACCCCAACTATCTGAACATGATTGTATTTGCGACACGTTTAGAATGAACGATATCGCTGTATTTACCAACGAATTAGAAATGTTAAAGTAGCATTACTCTCTAACAAAGGTCGCTAAAACATAGTTCCGAACTCAGATTAACTAAACTTCAATAATATCGTGCCTTCCGAAGCAGGGAGGAACTCGAGATAGTTCTATCTTTATGTTTATAGTTAATCACTATTTTTTTTTTATAGCCGCATTCGTGAATTTCTCTATGCCTAAAGGTTGACTGGCAGAGAATGCTTTTAGCGTTAAGTCCACCTTTTGTCCATTTTTGTAACTGCAATAAAGTTTAAATAAATAAAAAAAAAAATTTGGCCACCCATCCAATGACCGACCACTACGAAAGTTGCTTAACTTCAACGATCTCAGCCGAACGCGCTAATCACCCGCGCCATCGAGCTCCTTACTCTTCGACAACGCCTTAATAAATGTGAATTGTTATCTAATTATTACGATTGTACGCAGGTACAAGCACCTGATCGGCAAGACCTTGGTGCACCCTATAGTCAAACGGAAACTGCCTGTCATTGCCGATGAATACGTGGACATTAACTTGGGAACAGGTAAAATATTTTCGATTTTCATGCTCAACAATCATTAATGTGTGATGACACGGTAATAATATCATACAGTATTCTATCTTCATACAAACGGTCGGAAAGCGAGTCATACCTACGCCACTCGAGTTCGATGTGCTCTCGGCGGGCACCCAGTCGCGAATGCGCCGCCGCGCCGCAACGACGACCGAACGGTCTGAATTGTTTTTTATGCAGTTAGCCGTGCTTAAACGTGCGTTTTGTATTGTAAATATTAGATTTAAATAAGTAGATACCTACATAATTTAGTATGGAAAAGAACAAACGACGATCAATATCGTACAACAGCACAGTTGCTGTTTTTGGTTGCTTGAACTCTTCAATAACACACCCAGAGATATCATTTTTTAAATTACCTGAAATATTGGAAAGGTGTCTTACCTTTATAGAATATTTTTTATATACCTATCTACTAGTACGTAATTTGTTTCTAATATTTAGGTATTTCGGTTTTTCCATCGGGCAAAATATCTGGAATAATATATAAATAAGTGGTTAGGATGAAAAAAGAGACAAACGAGTAATCTACCTACACTCGCGTTTAAAACAAAACTACATAAAATACTGTAGGCGGGCGGCCCTACCGCGTGCTAGCGCAGCGCTCGGTCGTAGGCATTTATTTTCAAGGACAGGGCGGAGTCACAATACTGTATAGATAATATTACCGTGGTGATGATCTGTGTGGCAGTTTATAACTGCTGTACCAGCTAGATAGCTGCGATGATTCGCGTTGGGACTCTATCACCACTTAACATCAGGTGGAGGTAGAGTCATTTGCCTACATGGCAGCTTTGCCAGACGTCCCGATTTTTAAATCAAAATGTATATGTCCCGCGCGGGACAGGCTCAATCCCGCTTTTCGGGAATAAAACTAATGAATAAAACTTTTCTGATTTTGATTTCTGTTTTTTTTTTATTCAGAAGACCAATAAGACTCAAGTCTTTAACTATAAGGTAAAACTGATTTAACATATCATATTTTTATATTAAATCTGTAGATATTTTTACTAAAGTAGAACTTTTTATTAGCTGCAGTAAAATGACATTTTGTGGGTTACCGCTTTTTGAAGAAAAATAAATAGGGATGTAGCTAAGTGAGTAAGTGAATTATTCAATAAATGAGTGATCAGTTTGGTTTTGTTTTAGAGATTTAATATTAAGTTGTAATGTTTTTTTATTCTATTATTATTACTTTAGTAAAGGATTGATCTTTTTCAGTGGAAGTATAAGAACGTACATCCAAAATTAAACAAAATTGTCATAACAATGTTATTTATTAATCAATCATTTTCGGAATCACTATTGTTTCCGGTCACACTAATGACAAATCTGTCTGTCACTTCATCACTGTTGATTCCTACTTGAAATAAAGTTTTCACTTATTGCATTTTATATGTTTTATTATTGTTTGCGATGTCAAGCATCCATGTCTTCGATGTAACAAACAAAAGAAGCTGCCACGATTAACAATAATAAGTAGGTAACGAAAAACAAACACAACGTAACAAAAATTTAACAATAAAGATAACTAAAACAACTCGCAGTGGGCAAAGCAAAGTTATTCGTGCACTCAAAATAGAAGTTAAAAGCCGAATGAGTGAATGACAAATAAAATAAAATGCCGGAGAAGCGTCATCGTAGCACCGTAACTAAAAACCAGTACTAACTTGAGATTTTATACAGCCTTTTATTTATATGAATAATAAATAGAATTAAGTATGATCATTATGAGTTACTTTTGAGATTTTCTGTGAACCTAATCACATCCCTATTGAAATTAGGCTGTCAACATTATTTTACGGAATGACATTTTGAAACGTCATTTTACTGCAGCTAATAAAAAGTCGAAGTATAGGTACCTGTCTGTCAAAAGGTACTGTACTAAGGTTATTTGAACTCAAATAAAAAGTTAAATATTCAAAATCATTTGATTATATCAGGTTTTTTTTACTATGTCCCGCTTTTGACGAAAGAGTCCCGGTTTAGTCACCCAAAAAGTTACTAAATCCCGACTTTGAAAAAAAACTGGCAACGCTGCTACCTGGCTATAAAAAAAAATATGTCTTTTACTCAAACGACTTTGTAGCGCTTTTTGAAGTGAAACTTTGTTTCAGACGGGAAAATTATTTGGAAAAGATGATAAGGATATTTCTTCATGAGCATCACACGACCTAACTATATATATATATTATTATAGTGTTAGGTTATTTAAGAAAAGAAGTTTCACTTCAGATGTTGGGACCGTGCACACTAATTAATTTTATTATTTTAACAATATTATATAATATATATATTTAAGCATTAAACTGCTTGGTGTTTATATATGAAGAAATTTGTACTAGAAAAAAATCTACTCGGTCCATATTTCAGACTGGATTTTTAACGTTATTCTTGACATTCTAGACCCTACAGGCTCCGAGGCTGCAGGTTTTTTTTTTAATTATTTAGTACTTGTAAAAGTATTCATTTGACATTGTGGGTTACCTACAATACGAAGAGATGGCGCTGCCTCCCAGCCTAAGGCTAGGATAAAATCGATACGGTCGCGTTAGCATAATGGTTAGTGCATTCGCCCGGATAGCGAAAGGTGCGGGTTAAGTGTCCCGTCTGCTACCTGGTCCGCGTGGATTTTTTTCTAGTAAACTTTTCTTTAGATTTAAACTTCTAGCAGTTAAATGTCTAAATAAAATAATAGCATAAATATATTTATTTATTTACTTTCAGGTGCTGTGAAAATAACACCGGCTCATGATCCGAACGACTACGAGATCGGCAAGCGGCACAACCTGCCCTTCATCAATATCTTAGACGACGAGGGCAAGATGCTGGACAACTGCGGACAGTTCTCGGTAACATACTTAAATATAAGATCCTACTTCTATATCTATATATATATAACTCAAAGGTGACTGACTGACATAGTGATCTATCAACGCACAGCCCAAGCCACTGGACGGATCGGGCTGAAATTTGGCAAGCAGGTAGATGTTATGACGTAGGCATCCGCTAAGAAAGTATTTTGATCAATTCTACCCCCAAGGGGATAAAATAGGGAATGAAACTTTGTATGAAAGTTTGTCAATTTTAAACCGATCGGGCTGAGACTTTGCATGCAGGTATAAGAAGAATCATAGATGAATGTCATTGTGTATAATACAAGCCTGTAGTCTACACTTCAGCTCTACACCGAACCGAAGCGAAGGCGGGCCGCTAGTATATTATAAACTTGAAAGTTTGTATGTTTGTAACTCAAGCGCGCAAAAATTGCTGAACGGATTTGGATGTAATTTGGTACGCATATATTTAATGATCTGGATTGAAACATAGGATACTTTATATCATGGAAGAATGTTAAGTTCCCGAGAAATTCTCCAAAATCTAAAGTTAACGCGGACGCAGTCGCGGTCGGCCGCTAGTACTTAAATAAACTTTCTTCATGATCAGCCTATTAATGTCCCCACTGCTGGGGCACAAGCCTTCCATATGAATGTAATAGGGAGATTGGGTTTTGGTTGCTAGTTTATTATTTTTTTATGAAGCTCTATTTTAAGAATTTTCTGGGGTTACCAAAAAGATTTCTAACAAAGACTTGACTTGACGACCTCCGTAGCCGAGTGGTTTGTACGCCGGGTTTCATGGTGTCGCCGACTCGAGAGGTCCTGGGTTCAAATCCCGATGGGGGCAGATGTTTGTGTGATGAATACGAGCATTTGTACTCCAGTCATGGATGTGTAATATGTATTTTCTATATAAATATACTTATATATGTACAGTATATGTATTCTATCCGTTACCCTAGTATCATAACACAAGCTTTATAGTGCTTACTTTGGGGCTAGGCTAATTGGTGTGAGTGTTGGAAATATTTATTATTATTATTATTATTAAAGATCTGCTAGAAAAGCTCCCACTTTAATCAGATCTTTCATCACGAATCAATATTTGGACTCCTCAGGGCATGAAACGGTTCGACGTGCGTCGCAGCATCATAAAGTGTTTGGAGCAATTGAAATTGTACCGCGAGACCAAAGATCATGCGATGGTCGTGCCTCAATGCAGCCGGTCTAAGGACGTCGTCGAACCGATGCTCAAACCGCAGTGGTAAGTACTAGAACAGGTTTTAGATACGTTTATGTTTGGTTAATTTTTTTATTTTACGCAGTAAACTGCTAGATATATACGGGTGAAAATATTTGCATTAAAATAATTTTCATTCGTGCAAAGCCGGGGTAGATAGCTAGTATTAAAAAAATATTTATCACAGGTACATCCGCTGTGACACGATGGCAGCGGAGGCCATAAAAGTGGTGAAGAACGGTGAACTGAAGATCATACCTGACGTACATGAGAAGATCTGGTATCACTGGATGGAGAATATCAGGGATTGGTGCATTTCAAGGCAGCTGTGGTGGGGGCATCGTATACCCGCATACAGAGTAACAGTCCCTGCTCAGGTAAAATGGTCTCTATGTTCTTGATTATAAGGTCGCTTATTGTGTAAACTAGATATTTGTGTTAGCATCGAAATCGTCGTCCGTTTGGTTGTGGGGGCACACAAGCTAAAAAAACCGTTTAAGTAATGGTATCGATTCTGACATGCTTCTCTAAACTTTAAACCAAATTTAACATCAGTCTCTCCTTTTTATTATAAGAGAATGATTAGGAAACATTGCTGTCAAATTTCATTTTACGTTGAGAGTTTCACGCCACAATCGACTTAGATCCGTTACAGCGACAACTGTGGTAAGATAACACCTTGTTAACTAGAGAAAGTATTAGGGTGTTTTTACTGATTTGAAACTACGTTTCAAAGCCTAGTAAAACTACTAAACTACTAGAAATTTCTTTTATATATATCTAGGAGGAAATCTTCGAGAGCCAAAACTCGAATATCGCAATATGCAGCGGAAACTGCTGTTGTCCCTTTCTCATAGTATTTGCCAATGCGCGACAGCAATAGTTGTTACAAATACACCTTTTTCAAACGTCTCTCAGCTAGCGTCCGCTCTTAATGGCGCAATTACATTTGGTCGTTAGCTCGAATTCGGGTGCACGAAAGGCATTACTCGAATTCGGGTATCCGAAGCCATATTAACATTGGAATACGGGCTGAACGGTGTCGGGTAAACGAAAGGAAATCTACCCGAACACGCGCTACCTTGACACCGTTCATTTACACTTAGTCCTTTACCCGAATTTTATTGGCCACGTATCCGGCCAACGGCCAAGTGTAATAACGACCGACCCGTTGTTATTAAGAAAAAGACAACAATACAGCAAAGCCATTTGTAGAGAGAGAAAATAAAACGCTGTTACGCCAAGCCAAGCGACTCGGGCTCGCCGTTTCACTCGCGCTGCATTGAAGCGTACAGTACCCCTAGCACGAAACAATATCGAATTCGTATCGTTTGCGAGTCCGAAATGTCATTGTCAAATGTGTACTGACTTTTAGTTCTCGTTACGTACGTTGTGCCGCTGCTGTTCAAGTTTCCATACAAAATTTGACATTGACACTCCGGTTTGCAAACTATTCGAATTCGATATTGGTTCGTGCTAGGGGTACAGTTCTGTCTCGCTCGCTCGATTAAATGCTTATTTACAGAAGTGTGCGTGCGTGAAAGAATGTATGTAGTTGAGTTGGAGCATATTTTATATGATGCTAATATGAGCGTACCGTATCTTCCCTTTTTGTTTTAATCTAAGACTATAAAGTTAACTAAGCTAACTGCAATTGCTTTTTTTCTGACTGGATTAAACTTATATATGTGTAGTCTATGTATGTATATGTCATATATTTATATTATATGTATATATCTTATAGTAATATTATGTGTATATATTATGTATGTATGGTATGTATATATATTTAATATATATAGTTATATACATTTTTATATCCTTTGTTTCTTTTATAACACCACCGACTCCAGTTTCATTCAATCCTCTCCATCCAAAGGTTGTCTGGAAGAAATCGCTTTTAGCGATAAGACCGCCCATTGAATCACGGTTTAAACATAATCTATTTACCCCATTTATGTACTGTACTGTGGTGTTTCAATAAAGAATTGTGTATTGTATAAAGCATTGTATTGCGCACGCATTCCAAGGATTGTACCGCAGCGGTGTCTCGCTCGGCCCCGCGTCGGCGTCGCACGCGCACCGGACGCAAGAAGCGTGCGCGTCAACGCCCGCGACAACAAAACGCGACCGTATGTCTACCGCATAAGTGTTACAGTCGCTTGCGTTATCAGTTTGCTTGTCGTTTTGAGAACCCAATAGGGTATTTGACAAGTTTTCGAAAACGATCTCACGTTATTCACTAATGTTTATAGAGTCCATAAAAAGTGGATATTCATCATTATATTGTGCATTTCGGTAAAAAAACTAATTCAAAAACTCTATTTTTAAGTTGCCGCGGAAAACGTATCTCTGGACAATATGGCGGTTCACTGGTGTGTGACGTCACACGACTGTCATTATAACGTCAAACCAGACAATCAAATGTCACTTTAACCGGAAGTTTACTTGCGTGTGACGTCATTTTAGGCTCCACCAATCCAAAGCGTTTTGGGTCAATAGACACCAAAACTATTATCTTTATCGTGGGTTTTTAGTAAAATTATGAATATTTATTCAGTAAAAATAGTAAAAACTTCTGCCAATATTCATTCTAAATACAGATGCTAACAATTGGCACTTTATTTTTAATACTGTCAAATACCCTATACTCATTTATCAATCACATTAACATTCGATCGTGTTTGACATTCGCACCAACTCGCCACCGTATGTTTACTCCAGAAGTGTTACAGTCGCATGCGTTATCAGTTTGTTTGTCGTTATGAAAACCCAATACTTATTTATCAATCACATTAAGGTTCGATCGTGTTTGACATTCGCACCAACTCGCCACCGTATGTCCACCGCATAAGTGTTACAGTCGCATGCGTTATTAATTTGCCTGTCGTTATGAAAACCCAATACTTATTTATCAATCACATTAACGTTCGATCGTGTTTGACATTCGCACCAACTCGCCACCGTATGTCCACCGCATAAGTGTTACAGTCGCATGCGTTATTAATTTGCCTGTCGTTATGAAAACCCAATACTTATTTATCAATCACATTAAGGTTCGATCGTGTTTGACATTCGCACTAACTCGCGACCGTATGTCCACCGCATAAGTGTTACAGTCGCATGCGTTATTAGTTTGCCTGTCGTTATGAAAAGCCAATAGGGATGATGGATGAATGGTATGTCTAAAAAAAACTTTAAGAATTTATACACGCCGAACTGTTGCGTTTTAATATACTTATACTGTTTAATCTGCTTTCCCATACATTATTAGTCTGCATGCCGTTGTTGAGGTAGGACTTGCTGTAGCCTCTGTTTTTGATGGCAAGAATAAAAAATGAATACCTCAATTAATTGCTATATATAGAGGCATTAACTGTATTGTTAATTATATCAAGTTAAGGCGGTAATGGCGTGAGCTTAGTGTCATTATTTGATAGTCATATTATTTTAATTAATTGCCGTGTTATAATGTTTTATAATGTTTTCATTGTTTTATTTCATAAAAAATTAACTGCCAGTTTCATTAATAACTCACAGTAAATGATATCCTTATTCTGGTTTTGTTTCATAGCACCAGCTGTTATTTTAATCGGAATAATTAAAATACCTACGCAACTAAGGCTTTGTTGTTTCATCAAAGGTTAAAAGAGGTGGTAAAGCTTATTTTATATTATAACATGAACAGATTCTTTCTATTTTTATTTATCTCCAATTACTTTTAAATCGTGTTTAAAAGTAAAATTAATTTGTAAGGATGCTTGCTATCTTGTCTTATTAACTTCATTTTTTGAAGTGAAAACTTTAGCGGCGTTGTACACTTTTTTGTATGGGTAAAAAATGTTAAACTCGCGTCAGGTTAAACACGTGGGCTGATCGCATCATGACACACAATAAAATTGGAAATGTTGTTGACTTTCAATATATTGGACCAAACATAGTAATATATTATTTAATCTTATTATAAATCGAAAATTCGTAATACGAAAACAATAAGATTGAAAAGATTGTAGACTTGCAATATATTGGACGAATTATAGTAATATTTTATTTTATCGTATTATACATAGTCTATATATAGTCTGTATCTAGGACGTCAAGGTGGCAGCTTTATTGCGAAGAAAATGCATTTTTTTACAATAGATGTGGCTAGGTGCGCTTAAATGAGATATTCTGAGAGAACTTTTTAATGTAATATAAATTGACATATTTGTGTACGATAGCGCAATAAATAAATATTGTATTCTACCACATAAATGATAGTACTTTTATACTGATAATTAAAGAAATTCGTGCAAAATTATTCCCTAACCATTCCAAAATATCAAAAATGCACAACGTTAATATTCAAGTTTTCACTTCTGCCGGCACTCCCGGAGTGCAACCCATCGTTTTTTTTAAGTGTCTCCATACAAATTGGAGCAGTCTTGTTTGACTATTGTTAACTCCCATAAAAAACATCCATCTGTAAAAAAAATACAGATTAAGGCTGCGTTTCCACCAGAGATGTGCGATGGAAATGTGTCGTGCGAGGATGTCTAGCTGTGCTGTGAAAATGTGTGGGGATTTCCACCAAAGCTGTGCGATGAAAATGTGCCTACGAGGATCTGTAGCGGAGCTGTGAAAATGCGCATTAATGTGTGGTACAGTATGCGCAAACCTCGCAACACATCCTTCTCATCACACATTCCTCGCAACACGTCCCTCGTACACATCCCTCGCACACATCCCTCGCTTGTTTTGTATGCGCAAAAATCTAGCTCCGCTGAGCCGTTTCCACCAGAGCTGTGCTGACTGAGGCGAGGTAAATGAAGCGATTCTATTGGTTCTTTACAAACACATCCCTCGCTATGCATCCTCGCACATCTCTGGTGGAAACGCAGCCTAAATATGTATTTGAGGTGGCATTAACTAAAGTAAAATGTTACTATCGATGAAACAACGCGATCTAAGGTTGTTGAAAGGGACTATGAAGCAATATCAAAGATGTGACTATATCAACAGAAACAAGAGGACGAGCTATGGGTGTCTGCGCACACTGCAGAGGAGGCCCTTTCGAAGGCGGCTACAAAGTTCGGCGTGGCCGCTGACGAGATCAAACTGATACAGGACGAAGATGTACTCGACACGTGGTTCTCGTCGGCGCTGTTCCCCTTCTCCATATTCGGGTGGCCAGACCAGACGGAAGACTTGAAGGCAAGTTGATGGATTCGACGCGTTACTACTGGATAAAGTTGTTTTATTGTCGGTAACGTGTGAATGATGCTCTCGACTCTTGTAGAACGTTCTCGAACATTAGGCAGGCAAATTATACTCTTGGCGAAAAACAGGCAGGCATTACATTACCTTTTCTTCTCAGCCATCGTCAACCAAAAAGATAACTACATCATAACTCTTTCCACTTATCTATTGTGTTTGTGGCGGCTACATCTACAATACCGTTGTCTTTTTACACAATGCCGTATTTATTTATTTATTTTTTGGAAGACCAACAGCTATTAATAAAAATAATAAAAACTTAAATAACAACAGAAAGCCAATAACAGGTGTTCACCAATAAAAACACATCATCATCATCAGCCTATTAATGTCCCCACTGCTGGGGCACAGGCCTTCCCTGTGGATGGAATAGGGAGATTGGGCCATGACCCACCGCGCGGGCCCAGTGCGTATTGGTGGATGCTAACGACTGCAGATGCAGCCGGGACCAACGGCTTAACTTGTCTTCCGAAGCACGGAGGAGCTCGAGATGGTAACCCACTCAATGACCGACCACAAAAAATAAAAACACACTACAACAGGCACACTTTTAACATAATAATTACAACAAAAAAGCATTATTCACATATTCGTCGTGATGGAAAACAAATCAATGCCAGTTTTCTCAGATACAACATTAAAATTATTACCTGCACGCAAGAGATACGAATTCTGTCTAAAGTTTGAGGTTGCCTGTGGAACGAATATAAGGGGATTAAATCTTAGTGGTTTTTTTGTAGCCCTAAGGGAAATCCTAGACAGTAGTGCTGGGCAGTCGATAGCACCAGAAGCTATTTTTAATAAAAATACTAAATCTGCAATTCGGCGGCGTTTTTGCAGTGGTAACAAGTGGTGTTTCTTACAATAATAGTATTATCGTATCTAGAATGATGCCTGGGACAAGTTTGACTTTTTCTTTAGTTAAACAATATTGTGTTCATTCGCAGGCGTTTTATCCTGGCTCGTTGTTGGAGACGGGCCATGACATCCTCTTCTTCTGGGTGGCTAGAATGGTCTTCTTTGGAAAGCGGCTTTTAGGAAAATTACCTTTCAAGTAAGTGTACTTAATGATATTGCTACGATTAACTCGGCATTTTAACTGCAGCATTATCCAAATATGAAATACGGTTAACTCTTATTAGTTCTTTATTAATTACGTAGGAGGCACAAGTATGAGACTATACCTTTTTTTTTTTTTTTTTTTTTTTTTTTTTGTCTGGAATATGCTTTATGCATCCTTCAACCACCGGGGGAGCGAGAGGAAGGTATGTGGGACTCCTCCCTGCTCATTTCATCCAGCCCTCAGCCTCGATGAAATGTGCAGGGCACTACCTACGCCCTAAACAGGGCCACTACAAACCAGACAATACCCCTGCACCGGTCACCCGACACGCATTCAGAGGACCATAGTTCTCCCAATGCGCGTCGAGAGTGCGGATGTAGTCGTGGCACCTGATTTCCAATTGACCACGCATCCGCCATGAGACTATACCTGCTTATCATAGTTATATTCTTGCATGAGTAGTTCTTTTAAACGATTTGTTTTAGTTTATTCATATGATCTCTAATAAAATTATAAACCACAACACTTTGATTCACTGCGTCCTCAATAGAAAAAAATGCTGTCAAATAGGGCATATTAGACTTTCCTATAATGGCAGAAAACTATGTTAAAAATTCTGCCTTACAGCCTTATAAATGCTAGAAGTCATTCGACACGGCCGTTAGGGCCGCGGTAACGTAATTGGTCAGTGCATCAACCCGGATAGGGGCAGGTGCTGGCTCGAGTGCCGTCTGCTGCCTGGCCGCGTGGAATTATTTCAAGTAAAAATAAAAGTAAAATTTTCTCTAGCAGTTAAATGCTTAAAATCTCTAAATACATAAAAATCAATTGTGGTTCGTTTCTCTCGCTAAATTTCGTGAACGGGGCCGATTAAGCTGATTTTGGTTTTTTTTACACACTAAGCCTAGCCCCAAAGTAAGCACTATAAGGCTTGTGTTATGGGATACTAGGGTAACGGATAGAACACATATACTGTACATATATAAGTATATTTATATAGAAATACATATTAAACATACATGACTGGAGTACAAATGCACGTATTCATCACACAAACGTCTGCCCCCACCGGAATTCGAACCCGGGACGTCGGGGAGTCGGCGACACCATGAAACCCGGCCTACAAACCACTCGGCCACGGAGGCCGTCAAATAAAAAAATCGTCGTTTGAAATGTTTGTCGTAGTCCAGGGAAGGTTTAACCGGTGAGAAATATGAAAAATTTGCGAGAAAAATAGTTAAATCAACAAAATTCATTTTCGCATAAAAACTATTCTACTTATTTTCCTTCCAGTCAAACAATTGACTTTCGTCCCTTTGATACGGTAGATTCGGGAACACTCGAACGGTACAAAATGCGCCGGGTCAGCTAGTATATATATTATACTAGCTGACGCGAGCGGACTTCGCACCGCCATAAAAAAATAGGGGTTGATTTTAAAGGGTTGAAAATTCAGGGTTATATGTATTTACTAATGCTGTATGGTCCCCCTAAATGTTAAGAGTGGATTACCCTTAACATTTAGGGGGATGAAAAATAGATTACATCCGATTCTCAGACCTACTGAATATGCATATATAATTTCACGAAAATCGGTCGAGCCGTTTCGGAGGAGTTTAACCACAAACACCGCGACACGAGAATTTTATATATTAGATATATATATAAGTATATAAATATCTTAAACCAGTACTCCTGAACCTATACACCTAAACATCTATTCTAGAGAGGTGTACCTCCATCCAATGGTGCGCGACGCCCACGGTCGGAAGATGTCCAAATCTTTAGGCAACGTAATCGATCCTATGGACGTAGTCCAAGGGGTCACTTTAGAACAACTGCACGCGCAACTGGCGGAGTCGAACCTGGACCCGAAGGAAGTGGAGAAGGCTAAGCAAGGACAGAAGCAAGACTACCCCAACGGTATACCGGAGTGCGGGACGGATGCGTTAAGGTAGGTTTAAACGGTATACACTTGGGCTGTTCTTGATACTTTTTATCTACTCTAAGCAATGTCACTCTTAAATTGTATAGGTTTAATTCACTGTTCGTTTCCGGAGATCATTTATTTCACAGACAACATAATTATGGAATGAGCTCCCCTCCACGGTGTTCCCCCAGTACTATAACATGGTCTTCTTCAAGGGAGGCTTTAATATAGTGTTCCACGAAAGGCAGCTGCATGGCTCTGTACTGGCACTGCTGATGCCCGTGGGCGACTAGTGGCCCGCTAGCTCGTCTGCCTTCGAAGGCAATAAAAAAATTGCTTGTCTGTAAATCCGGTTTACGGAGGAGTGTTTTGTGGAGCTTTTTGTTTTGATTAGTTTGAGCCCAAGCAAGCCTATGGAGGCCCGAGTTAGACTCCGCAGGGGTGAGATACAGGGGAGGGTAAGAGTGGGGGGGGGGGGTGCTCAGGGGTGAGCACTTTCCTATGGATGGAACAGGGAGAATAGAAAGTGACCTACCATGAGGGTCCGGTGCGGATTGGTGGGTGCTAACGATTGCAGATGCAGCCGTCGCTGACGACTATGATTACGGTTTTGTGTGGTCAGATTCGCATTGTGTGCGATGATGCAAGGCCGCGACGTGAAGCTGTGGTACGCGGTCATGTTCACTTTTGAGACCCATCCGCAGCGTCCCGTTCTGAGAGATGATAAAATCGTTATTACCTAGATGCAATTTGTCATTAACTGACAGATAACCAACGATATTAAATACCCTAGATACACCAACACGAACAAAATCGTACCCGAAAGCTGTCCAAAAGGTACATTGGATGATCCACAGAGCTCCGTAAGATGATCGCATAGTCAAAAACAATATAAGCCTTTTTTTATCATTGAAAGTCACCTTTACTTCATACTGTATAAGGTCTTAATTAAAACGCATGCGTCAAAGAATTATGACAGTTCGTAATGCAACCTCGTAAAATTTTACGACTTATTGCTATATACAGAAGAATATAGACCTTATTTCTTTTATTCTACACGCAATTCTGAATGCGCTGTTATCAATATAGCAGGTACAGACCGCGAGCAAAAGAAAGGGCTATATTACCGACCATGCATTTAAATATCACAAATATTTTCTATTAAATCAGTTTATAGTAAGTATTAGAACAAAATTTGCTTCAAATGTGTTAAAATAACAAACATTGATTACATACCCGACAAAAACGACACTTCACATACTATAAGTATCTTTTTCGCATTTTTACACGGAGCTCTGCGGCAACTTGACTTTTCAACGGTCCGCGCGTGACTATGAACCAAGAAGTGCTTGAGTGGTGTTCAAGCACTTCTTGATTGGGACACATTTTGAGCGCTTGTGGTGTGTGTATCTGGGTATTTAATATCGTTGCAGATGACAGCTTATACTGTAGGTTTAAATTCAATTACTTTGCGTGATCAGGTTCGCGTTGTGCGCGATGACGCAAGGCCGCGACTTAAACCTGGACATCCTGCGCGTGCAGGGCTACCGGTTCTTCTGCAACAAACTATGGAACGCGGCCAAGTTTGCGCTCATGTACTTCCCCAAGGATAAGGTTTATGAGGTTAGTGGCATTTTCAAAGAGTTCTTTCTTATTGCTAAAACAACGCACATTCCAAAGTTGATTTGTATAGGATGTTAAATAATTATAATAAAATAAATATACTATAAATATACTAGCTGTTTATTATTGATATTATCCCGCAGTAAAACGTAGCGTATGTGTTAATCCAGGGTGGCAGCTAACTCTATACCAAATTTTATTAGAATCACTCCAGCCGTTTAGACGTGAAGAAGTAACAAACATACTCACTCACAATCTTTCCCCTTTTTCCCCTAATTTTAGTGCGATATGTATCATCACACTAATATTACGTGCGGGGTTAAGATTAAAACATTAAATAGATTTTCGTTTCTGATCGGTAATAATTCGTCATGGCCCAGATATTATTTTTCACTTATTAGTTCCATTTTCGATTTTGTTTAAATTTTTTATCATACAACTTTGCATAGGTGCTGCCGTCGTCGTTACCAAGCGAGCTATCCCCAATGGATCGCTGGATGGCTTCCCGCGTCGCGCTCGCCGTACAGAAGGTCAACGCCGGGTTCCGAACCTACGACTTCCCCGCCTCCACTGCGCACTGCTACAACCTGTGGCTGTACGACTTGTGCGACGTTTACTTGGTAAGTTAAGTTAATTACATACCTAATTAACCTATGTGTTAATATTGTTTTAAACTTTCATGGTCACTAACATTATAGCTATTAAGCGGATTGTAACCATATACCTTATCTCTTATCTAGTAGACAAGTCCGTCCGTTCGTCCGTCTGTGGTGCTGTTTCAGCGGCCAAACCGTAAGAGATAGATAAAGAGAATATTTAAGTTATAAGTTAAGAATAGTCTGATAAGACTACAAACCGGATTTGAGTAACGTAGCACTTCCGGTTTTCGAGAAATCACGAATTTCAAACGAAACCACACAAAATCTCCGAAGTTCTCAATTAATTAAATACATTTTTTTTAAATCAGGTTTTGGTGAACATTTGGTTCACTGGTTTGCTAGTTTTTCCATAATCAACAAATTATCTCGGCAGAACGCCACTACATACGAAGATTGTTCAGGGAAGCGATTGAAATAATCAAACACAAAAATTTTAATCGTGAGGATGAGTTTTAATTGTCAAGTGTCTGGAATCCAGTGGTTCGTATGTGCAAAAACCGCAAAAATAAAAAAAACGAGCGAGCCGTACAGTAGTCGCGTATGATGTGTAACATTTGAAACCTCACCTTATATTAGTAAAAAAAGAAATAAAACCTACTACAAAAGGAATAAGCCATTTGAACATTATGTTCTAAAATCATATCAAATAGCGCGCGCTTCCCAAACTTCCTGTTACACACTTTCGTCCCACATCACCACAAATTTTCACGAAAACGAGAGGAAAGATGTTACACAGCAAAAAGTGTTGTACCACGATCTGCTACTGTGAGTATTGTGTGTCGGGAACAGATGCTAGTGAATAGTGAGAATGTGACCAGTGGTAGGTATCGGGCGCAATAAAAGACGACGTCAGAGGGTAGACCGATATGTCTGCCAATGACATCTACCCGCAATTACTGCAGTTACTCCGTTATCATGGCGCTTGCAACAGTGCCGAAATATCGGAGACTCATAAAAAACAAGGTACATGGTAACAATCCCGTTAATAGCTATAATAAAGCCTATTTGTTAAGTCCAAAATAGGCTATGTGACAGTATGAAAAATATGTACCAATTGTTGGCATCTGTATTTAATATGAATATTGGCAGCGATTTTGCTATTCCGAAAGAAAAACTACTTAATTATTAACTTATCTATAAAATCATTGAATAGAAATGTTTTTTTGCAAGACTAACGATACACGTTAGTAAACTTTCGGCCAACGTGACATTACATTGTTGCGTTTGACGTTTTAATGACAGTCGTGTGGCGTCACACACTAGTGAGACGCCATAATGTCCAGAAAAAGCTTTTCGCGGTAACTCGAATTTTTTTTTTACTAAATTACGGAACAGAAATGAAAATATCTACTTTTTATGCAGTCCATAAACATAAGTAAATAACGTGAGATCGTTTTCTAGAACTTGTTAAATACCCTATTCACCAAAAGACCATAACGGTGTCGATTCTGATGACGACCTCCGTGCCCGAGTGCTTTGTACGCCGGGTTTGAATGTGCCGCCTATCGAGAGGTCCCGGGTTCGAATCTCGGTGGGGGCAGATGTTTGTATGATGAATACAAGGAGGCAAGCAGCCAAGGATGTTTTATATGTATTTCTATATAAATATACTTATATATGTATCATTATACCTATGTATTGTATCCGTTACCCTAGTATCCCATAACACAAGCCTACAGTGCTTACTTTGGGGCTCTTTCATAGATAGAATTAGAAGAGTTGTCAAGATGAACATACTATATTATGTAATTACTAATTTAATTGCTTTTGTAATGCAAATATAACCGATTAATTAAATTAAAGATTTGAATTGTCATTAAAACGAACAAAATATTGGATTTATTTTTTCCATTACTATCTTATGCGATTATTTGAATAACGTCACAATAATCAAATGCAAATAGCCATATATGTGAAAAGTGCCAGCATTACTATAACTTCATAAGTATTATAGAAAGAAGAAAGAAAGAAAAATCGTTTATTGGTCTAACAAAAAACACAAGTAGGTAACAAAAAGAAATTATATAACAATAAAAATAAAAACAAACAGAGAACAAAAATATAGCTCTCTATCTATCTTTATCTAGAAGACAGGCCAATCAGGACCCTGCCCCAGCTTAATGCTGTTTCAATGGGACGGGAATATTTCCACCGTAACAGCGCTGGTATTCTGGCAGGCCCTATAAAAATATATATAGGTAGGGCCTGCCTATAGATTATGCTAAAAACAAATCATAATTATAAGTAAAGAATCGCAATTTCAAATGTTAATACACATTTAATTCTACTAACACCAGGAATACTTGAAGCCCGTGTTCGCCCAAGGAAGCGAATCTGAGAAGGAAGCGGCGCGGCGTACTCTCTACACCGCGCTGGAATTTGGCCTGAAGCTGCTGAGTCCCTTCATGCCGTTCCTCACCGAGGAGTTGTTCCAGCGGCTGCCGAGGAAGAAAGACAGTTGTCCGTCCATCTGCGTGGCTTCATACCCCACGGTAACTATTATATAATAATCCGACCGCAGACAGATGGAAAAACTTCTGGAATCCTCATTCTTAAAGAGTCGTTTCTTGAGCTTTCATAAATCCACTCTCTTCCCACAGGAATCGGACGCGCCTTGGAGATCTTTAACTCTCGAAGCGAACGTGGATACGGTTCTCGAAATGGTGCATTCGATCCGTTCCACACGGTCCGAATACAATCTGACCAATAAACAGAAGACCACCGCCCATCTCGTCATATCGCCAGAGTTGGACGTTACAGCTTTAAAAGGGTTGTTCCAAAACTTGCAATCGTTAGCCAATTCTGAGTTGGCTGACGGACAACCGCCGGTTGGCTGCTCCATCCTCACCGTGTCGGATAAGATCGAAGTGCATCTGGTGCTTAAGGTGAGATTTGCAGACTAAGTCAGGTTTCTACAGTTGGTTTTGAGCTTTAAACCCAACTACTAAAGTTGGATTTATTTCTTGGTGGATTTTAAACAGTTTTTATATCAATAATAGGTATAATAATAAAGATGACAATGAAAATTTATGCAACAATAAATCTAGTTTTCAACTCGGCCCCACTTCAATGACTTTGATTAATAAAGATTTCTCACTTTTAATAGCTGCCTCCTAATTATATCACTGCAACACCTTACCGATCACGATTCTTATTTATTTGACATTTTAATGACATCTAAAGTAAAAATAGACATCTAATAAATTAAAAAGTATCTTAATTGCCATTAAAACAAAATCTTGGGGCTCGTCTCTTTTCGGTGTTCTCATCCGTTATTTAACTTGTTACACGTTTTGTTATTTCAGGGTCTCATAGATCCTCAGAAGGAGATAACGAAACTAGAAAAGAAGAAAGAAACCCTGACACAGACTGTAACCAAACTGCAGCAATCTATGGCGGCCGAAGATTACTCAACAAAAGTACCAGTTGAGGTACAGAAATCCAACACTGAGAAACTTGCGCAGGCGCAAGGGGAGATCGAACGGTTGCAGGCCGCGATGGAAACAATCAAGCTAATGTGAACCTTCAAGTAATGGACTTACGACCTTTTACGACTGTAAGAAAGTCAACGGTGTACATTTTGTCTGTTACATTTTGTGAGTTACTCTTACAGGTGTGTGCCAGTTTAATTTACAAGTGTATAATGTACTTCTATAAATGATATTTATTTTTCTTAGCTTATTGATAATTTACTTGTATTATAGCTGTACTTTTTCAATTTTCTGTTTCATACCTTTCTTCGTCGTTTTCGCGATTTCTCAAACCTCATTTGGCACTCACAAGTGTATAATTATTTATTTGTTTTTGCAATAAAATCGCTTTAATACTATAATGTGGTACATTTTCTTTATTTCCACAATATCCTATGTTCAAAGTAGATATACAAGAGACTAGTCTCTAGAGCCATATCAATAAAATCAGATACAAAATGTATTTGGACTTTGGATACCTTTCGATTTTTTTAATAGCCTGTCTAATAAAATACTAGGCTTGCTTTTCCTTTTTCAATATCTACAATAGTAATGTTGCAAATGTTTATAATTGTACTAGCTGACCCAGCGAACTTCGTACAGCCATTAAAATAGGGCCAGGTGGTTGAAGAGAAAATTTAGGGTTGTATGTATTTTTTAATACCACATTAAAAAAAAAATAGCACAAAAAAAAATTATGGGTGTATAACGTAGTGTTCTATCAATTTCCTGGGATAACATTCCTCCTAACCCATATGAGAACACTACGTTACAATACCCAATAGTTTTAATTTTAGCGCGAAGGCGAATTGTATGTTTGAGAACACTACGTTACAGGTGGACAACCATTATCACTTAAGGATATGAAAAATAGATAGTAACCGATTCTCAGACCCACGGAATATGCATATAAAATTTCATAAAAATCGGTCAGGCCGTTTCGGAGGAGTATGATAACTAACATTGTGACACGAGAATTTTATATATATACAATTATAAATATTTGCAACATTCACACCGATTAGTCTATCTAGCTCCAAAGTAAGCACTGTGTAAGGTGAGACGCAGACGTGCGCAGGATGGCCCGCCCATGGGGGCTAAGTAAAGGGCCTAGTGCCCACCGTACCGCCCCCCGTCCGCTGCGGAGGGCTACTTGGGCGTGCCCGTGTAGCTCCCTCCGCCACCCCCTTCTTTGCAGGACAGAACTACAAGGGGGGCTGCCGTCACGGGGTCCGTCGGTGGTCGGCACAACTGTCGCAATGCCGGTCAGCGAGGGACCCCCGGGTAGGGATTTTAAAAATTAAGTTATCTTAAGTGATTTAATTCACATAGTCTTATAGCTCCTGAAAAGCTCTACAAAATCGTTTCTTAAAAAAAACTATCACCTAAAATGAAGGAGCTTAAAAAACCGATCATTTTTTTTCCAAAAACAAATTCAATATTTTTGAGGGTAGTTTTTAACAAAGGTAGGTTGAAAGATTATGAAATTGTATCCTGAAGCATGAAACAATAATTTTTTAACTATTTTTACCCATATTTAGCTTTTAATTTTATTTAATAATTTATGATAATAAGGGGTAGTTTTCACCCCTAAAAAACAAGAAACGTACAACGCCACAATATAGGAAATGAACGCTGGACGAAAAAATTGCGAGGTTTCACCATTTTTTTAGCTTCATTCCTGGACTATATGTATTTTGTACAAAACAGCGTTGTTTAGAGGCGGGGCGTGCCGGGCCGCGAAGGAATCTGTCGGCACATGGCTCGGCGAGCGTATTTTTCCGTCGACGCGACACCCGACTCCAGAGGACGCATAGACCGCAGCATTTTTTGTAGAACAAAGTACTACTTATAGTTTATTTCACAATCATCCGAATTATTTGAAACTAGCGAAGGTAAAGTATCATGATGAATTGAAGAGAAATAATTAGGAAATGTCATCTTCTTTTCTTGCATATATTGTGAACGCAGACTTTATGCTTGCGATGTTTATTTATTTCTTGCTCCACACCAACAACATTATTAAGCTTCAAGAGTTCAAGCTTTGTAAAAAAGTAATAAAAGAAACGCATCTTAAACCCGTTTAATCGTGTTTCATTTAACATTATTAATAAACATAATTCCTCATCGGAACTATCCATTCTCGCACTCCCGAAAGCTCGTTTATCATACGTACGACGGACGGATCCTCCGATACGGCGCGGCCCGTGTCGCCTAGTGGAAGCAGTACGCAAAAATGATACCCGCACCGTTGCGGTCCGCCCCGCAGATTAAAGCTACAGCTTTCTGCTTGTGTTAAGGAATACTAGGTGTTCGAATAAGCATTAAAAAATATATTACAATTAGTAGTTATAACATTTGCCACTAGATGGCGCTGTACCATTATGAATCGCGCTAAACTTTCGCGTCAGTGTTGTAGATATAAGGAATTGGTAACAAATAAATCCTTCTTGTTTTTCGCCTTGGACACAGTTTTGTCTTTTTTATTTCATCTACGTATTCAAAAGCTATAAGCGCGAGAAACCCTTTTCATTTTTTATGTGGGATCTGTACATGGTCCTTCGAGCCGGATTGGCTTAGTGATTGTGTGTGCGATCATTATACATTATAAAGAAGAAATTAATAGTTGGCAGATGCAATAACGGCGAGATAATTGGATATTACAACAGCCAAAAGCAGGAAAGTGGTTTGATTTTTGCTATTTTATGCATTTACATATGGTGCAAAAACTTATGTCAAATGCAAAAATATTGATGAAAGTTTCGTGAAATCATAACATTCTTCGTTTTAATCTACGTGTTTGCGTCGAATTTATAACTACGAGTTGAACTTCCATGCATATTTTCTCAACGTAATCGACCTGTGACTACCTACATCTGTTTTATCTGCGTGCTGTTTGAACGAAATTGGACATTCCTATCGTCTTTTAATGAGTGTTTTTAAGTAGTAATTGAATTTTATGCCAAATTTACTGATGATTTATTGGTGTTAAGTAATCTATTGTTCTGTTGTTTATACATTTGTTTTTTATACATAGAAAATACAAAGTTCGAAAATGGAGTCGATGTTTAAGCTTCAGTCGGATACTGCATCCAACATTTCTAAAGCAAAAATTAATTTTAAAAAGTCTCCTAAAGACCGTATAACTATGTCTTATGTAGAAGCGCGTCTTGAAATGTTAGAAAAACTGTGGGAATCGTTTTATACCACACATCGGAAAATTATAGAAGATGATTCACAAAGTGAACTTAAAAGCTCCGTATATCAAAGTACAGATTTATATGCGGAGACCGAAGACTTTTACATCGATTACAAATCCGAATTAAAAGAAATATTGCGTAAATTTAAGTTAAGTGACACAAATCTAAGTGTAAAATCAAAGAGTAACTCTGAAAATGTTTCTAATAATTTAAAGTTGCCTAAAATAACATTACCCATGTTTAGCGGAAAATATGTAGAATGGACAAGTTTCCGAGATTTGTTTATGTCTCTTATACACAATAATAAGTCATTAGACGACGTCCAAAAACTTCATTATTTGAAAAGCCATTTATCTGACGAAGCGGAGCAATTATTGCGCCATGTTCCCGTCACCAGTGACAATTATTCAATTTGTTGGTTAAAATTAGAAAATCGTTATAATAACAAAAAATATTTATCTAATTGCATTCTTTCACGTTATAAGAGTCAAAAAATAATAAATGTCGAATCGTCTAGTGCTTTAAAGGAGTTATTGGATACTAGCAATGAATGTCTTAATGCTTTGAGACAATAAGGAGTAAATGTCAGCGAATGGGATGTTATTGTAATATACATTTTAAGTTCAAAATTAGACTGTGAAACACGCAAGCAATGGGAAATAAAAATTAGTGAGTCTGTAGAGCAATTACCAACATGGAGTATATTTAAAGAATTTTTGGAACAGCGCTTTAGGGCACTGGAGTTTTTAGATACTAAGAGTTTAAAAAATAATAGTAATCGTAATGTACCACATAAAGTTAAAGTATTTCACGTCACTTCCAATGTGTGTCCATATTGCAATGATAATCACAAACTTTATTCTTGTAAAAAGTTTGCAAATGATGACGTCATTTCACGTCGTGACTTTGTCCAAAAGCAGAACTTGTGCTTCAACTGCTTAGGTTCTCGTCATTCAGTAATCGCATGCCGTCAACCAACTAGATGCCGCATTTGTAGAAGGAAGCATCATTCCTTATTGCACAATCCCAATATAGGTCAAAATGTAAAGGAAAACGTAGATGAACCACCTGCCGGTGCAGGAACTTTGTCCGCAGTAACCATACCTCAGGGCGATACCGCTCAAGCTCTTACAAGTTGTTTCTCCAACATACACTCGCAAGTTTTATTAGCAACTGCCTTGGTAGATATCGAGTCCCGAACAGGCGCAAACATAACTTTTAGGTCAATGTTAGATCAGGGTTCTCAAGCTTCGTTTATAACGGAGTCTGCAGTCCAATTGCTAGGACTGCAAAAAATAGCAAGCAAAAGTTATGTTTCAGTGTTGGGAAGTGATACGAGTCCATCGGTGGTCTCTAAGAATGTTGTTTACATTAAAATGCAATCACTTCTCAACCCTAGTTTTGTTATTCGGGTGAAAGCTCATGTTTTAAGCAAACTGACGAATCTTCTTCCAAGCAAGAAGGTTGCAGTTCAATTGTGGTCACAATTTGCACAATTGTCGTTAGCCGATCCAACCTTCGATACACCGCACAAGATAGATATGATACTCGGTGCTAAGGTTTACGGTCAAGTTTTACGTGAAGGTTTAGTAAAGCATCCCTCAAGTTACTTAATAGCTCAAAACACTTATCTTGGGTGGATAATATCTGGAGAAACAAAAGAAGCTGCTGGAGAGCCGATTCAATGCAACAATCTTATAGTGAATATGCATCTTCAATTGAATGAAAATGATTTACTGCGAAAGTTTTGGGAGATAGAATCGGATCCAGTATCTGTAACAACAAGAAAAATGTTCACGGAAGAGGAACAGATGTGCGAAGATATTTATGCAAGCACGACCAAAAGAGATGCTTCTGGTCGTTATATTGTGAAACTTCCTTTTAAGGACAATTATTTTCAATGTACTAAAGGCAATTCTAAACAGATTGCACTTAAAAGGTTGAACAATTTAGAAAGAAAGTTATCGAAAAATCCAGTTCTCAAAAGCAGATACTCAGACGTATTTAAAGAATATTTATCTTTAGGTCACATGGAAGAGGTACTAGCAACGGAAATAGAAAAAGTGGACTTATGTTATCTACCTCACTTAAGTGTTGTACGAGAAGACAAAAGTACGACACAAGTTCGTATTGTGTTCGATGCTTCTTGTCCTGGCACCAAT